TTCAGATAACACTCACTGAGGATTTGCTAGCTGCCAGACGAATAAAATAGAGTTCCTGCCCTCTCAGAGCGTGCAGTCTACTGGAATACGTACATTAAGCAAGCACAGATATGCATAAACTATGGAAAACACTTGCAAATAATGTAGGACTGGCTTGAAAGAGTTAGAGTATGACTTTTTTAGCTGAAAATGCAAAGCCTTTAAAGTAAAAAGAACAAAGCACCCTGGCTGTTGTGGCTCAGTGGATTCAGTGCCAGTCTGTGAACTGAAAGGTTACCGGTTTGATTCCCAGTCAAGGGCCTATGCCTGGATTTCGGGGCAGGTCCCTGGTTCAGAGCGTAAGAGAGGCAACCAGTGGATGTTTCTCTTGCATATTGATGTTTCTCTCCCTCTCTTTCTCTCTCCCTTCCCCCCTCTCTAAAAATAGTACATAAAATCTAAAAAAAAAAAAAAGAACAAAGCAAGAAACAATTGTACATTTACCTGATGCAGGGAGGAGTGTAAAAGGTGAAAACAACGTAGTATCTGAAATAATATATTCCAGCACACTAAAACATGATCAAAGTAGCCCATGTAGACATTGTTTGCTACATATATTTCTGAGACATCGATCCCCTACTCTAACATACCAGAGTGGTCATGGGGAAGAAGGTAATAAGAACCGGCCCATAAACAGTTCCAAAGGAGTTGTATTTTTAGCACCCTCACACCCCTGGTGCTCATTCACGTTCAATGTTTCCCGCAACACCAGGGCACATACTGAATTTTGACTGCCCAAATACCCCTCCACAGCCCACCCCCCCACCGCACCCCCACTTTTGCCAGCGTCCTGCCTGGTCTTCCTGGGACCAGTCCCCCCCACAGTGACAATGACCACGTGAGCAACAGAGGTGCCTCAGTGAACGTTTTTCTCTTCTGATTATGAATAAATTTATAAGAGAAGTCTTGAATTTATAAGATTAAGTCACATTATATTATTATAGCTAAGAGTGTCTCAGCCCTATGTGCCAGGGACTTCACAAATTGACACATATATTCTGTTTCTAATTGTTGAAACAAACCTAGTTTCCTCTGTTATAAAGTGAGAATAATAATAAATCTACATCATAGACTATCAAAGGGATTAATTAAATATGAAAAGTGCTTTAAAATAATTGCAGACACATAATAGCTACTACTTATTGGGCACTTACCATTGTTTCTCCTTGTTAGAGGAGACTGAGGCTTACAGAAGTTAAATAAGTGCCTGAGATCTCACAACTAGAAAATGGCAGAACTAATGGGGAACTCGGGAGTTAGAAAATTTTAGTTTAAGGTAATAGTTAATAAGCCTAGTAGTTAATGCATGTAAAGAGCTATTGTTTCAGGAGCTGAAGGCATGGCCCACCCTGACTCCAGGAGACCACAGCGATTGACCTTTGAGCTCCAGAAGAGACCATAAGCAATCAACGTGCTATCTGAGCCATTATGTTCTGGGGAGAGCAGTCCACCCCCCAGGACACAGATAAAGAAAATCAGATGAAAGGATGTTAGGGAAATTACCAGACTGCAGCTTTTATCTGACTAACTTCTTTCCTGAATTCCGAATCCCTTACCTACACTTTTTCCTCATAAAATAGGCTGGCTTGAAAGGAAGTGTAAGCCAATCTGTTAGGATATGTACCCACCGTCTTCTCAGATCACCGGCCATCTGCCTAATGCGCCCGTAAAGATCCCGCATCTGCTTCTGGATTTTGGTGGTGACAGGCAGCCCCAACGCCGACTTTTCTGGTTTCAGAACCACAACTGGAACCCAAGCAATCTGCAACTAACTAAACTGACCTCTTAACCTCCACCTTCTGCAGCAATTATTAGGACTAATGCAAAGTACCCAAGGAGTTTATAGCCTACAATTACTCTGAATTCATTCATTCATCCATCATGTATTTATTGAGCGCTGTTGTGGGTTGTCTAGTGCCCCTCCCCCAAACTAATGTCCACCAGGAACTTAAAACTATAACCTTCCTTATTTGGAAATAGGGTCGTTGCAGACGTAATTAACTAAAATGAGAGTATACTGGAATGGAATGAGCCCTAAGTACAAAGAGGGTCTCTGTAAGAGACAGAACAGGACTCACAAGACAGAACACTGAAAATGGAGATGAGTTTGGAGTGATGTGTCTACAAGCCAAGAGACTCTTGAAGGATTAATGCCCAAAACCAGAAGCTGGAAGAAAGGCAGGGAACGGTTTCTCCCGGAGTCTCCAGATGGAATCAACCCTGCTGATTAGACTTCTGGACTTTGAACTGTGAGAGAATACACTCTTGCTGTTTCAAACCACACTGTGGCATTTTGTTATGGCAGCCCTAGGAAACGATCCCCAGCATCTACTACGTGGCCAGGCACAGTTCCCGGCTAGAGTTCCGGCTGTAAAGAAAACCGCACCCTGCCTTCCTGGAGCTTAGTTCTAGTGAAAGGATTCACACACAATACACAATACAAGGACAGGTACTGTCTAGTGCTGCGAGGAGAAAGTATTAGAGGAAGACAGACAAAAGCCAGGTGATGGTGATAAGAGTAGTTAGGGAGTGTCTCTCTAGAGACATTTTAACTAAATGAATCAGAACTGTGGAATTTCCGGCTGTAGGTGGGTAACTCTTCATAGCACCATTTCAATACATGCCCCCACATTAATTGGAAAGAAAACTAAGCAAGATTCTGAAATACATGAAAATGGTTTCCCAAATGGACATCTGGTCTCTGTCCCTTAAAAGAGTTTGGAGAGCAGAGGGGCTCCTAGCTCCCCCCAGCCCCCCACAGTCACCTCTCTTCTAGGAGGTAGTCATCAGTACTCTGCTTCTTCCTCCCTCTATGGAGCTCATCAACCTCACAGGCAGACCCTGAGGCCCAAGGCTTAGGGAGGCCAAACACTGCCACTCAATGAAAAGGGCAGCTTCCACAGACCAGACAAGGCACACAGAGGCCTTACATCAACTCCAGCCTCAGACCTGAGACATCTGTCTCAGGGTGGGCAAACACAACTGCTGGAGTCACCAGGGTCCCCTGAAATTAACATAACAAGCCAAAAAGTCTTCACAGGTCATCTTTAAACACTACTACAGATACTTACCTGTGTTTAAAATTGTTAGCATTCATAGCCATAAAATTCAAGCATCAGACTTCTTTGTGAAAAGCACGTTAATGCTTTTGTTCAATAAAGTTCCTTTGGCAATTTCAGCAAAGATCATACCAGTTCTTTTGGGATAATCTAAATTTAATTGGGACATGAATAGTGAAATTAACTGAAATACAAACACTAGGTGTTTGCCAATCCCTGAAAGTGTTTTAAGGCAAAAAACTTTAAAGGTATCAATATAAACATTCCACAAATTTCAAACAGTAAGCTAATAATAAACTTTTATAATGACACAGTAAGAAATGATGGTCATCACAGTCACAATTTTATCTTTTCTTAGTGGCTATTTGAAAACTTTTTCCATGCCTTCTCCAACTGGCTCAGACAGACACAGAAAGGACAGGTATTGCTTTATTTCCCTCAGAAAATTAGTGTATTGACACCAAATTTAACTTCATTTTAACCTTAAAAAACTCGTGTTTCGTTCATTCCCCTTCTGCTCATTGTCTGGTGGTTTCTGCAGCATCCTCATGTCACTGGCTCCGAGCAATGGGGCCCTGTGGGAACTGGAGGCATGGGCCTTTGAAGCTGAGTACTACCAGCACCTCCAGCCTGGACCACTTCCCAATCATCTCCCTCCCTGCTTTGATGCTTGCTCCCTTAGTTTTTTCTCCACACAGCAGCCAGCCACATTAAAATAAATAAATAAATAAATAAATAACTATTCCCCATTTAAATGCTGCCCACTGCAACTAGAATAAAATCCCAATTCCTTACTATGGTCTATTAGGCATGTATGAACTGGCCCTAGACCCTCTCTCCCTCTCACTCTCTTCAGCTCCAGCCACACCAGCCCTTCTGGTGCCTAGCAACTCAGGGACTTTGTACTTGCTGCTTTCAACCCCTCACAGACTTTCCCCTCAGATCTCCAAGTGAAAGTCATTCAGGTCACAGCTGATATGAACCAATTGCTGAGGGACTTTCCTAATCTAAAGTAGCTAGTGCTCTTTCACCCCACTCCCACCACTTTCTGTACTGTCTCTTATTTTTTAATACCATTTATTAGACATGGCATCGCATTCATTTTTTTATCTCCTCCACTCTTGCAGCAGCTCCCTGAAGGATCGCTGTTATCTCTAGAAAGTACCTGTCACAGAGGAAACACATGTATTGGTTGAATAAATGAATAAACAGTTGTGTGACTTTGGGCAAATTAAGCTCTGTGATAACAGCCAAGCAAATAAAAAAAAACAGCAAAGAGTTTAATTTGTCATTCATTCAATTTCCTTCTTCTGCTCACTAAATTCTTTACCACAAATTAGACAGAAAACCTAGCAAGACCAGAAGAACGGCCGACAGACACGAGCTAGGCTTCAGGCTTGTTGAGTAGGCCAAGGTTCTGGCATGAAAACAGCTTTTCAAGGAGACACTCCCAGTGGCTCGTAGTCTTTACCGCTCGTTTCAGAGCAGAGTGAGGTGACCCCGGGAGTAGCAGCTCTAATTCAGAGCTTCTGGACACCAACCCAGTAACTCTATCACTGAGGAAACTGGAAAAAAAACAAAACAAAAAAACCCCTAAAACTAATAGCAAAACACAAAGCCCGTAAAGAAAGGAATGAGTGCCCTTTGATTTTAAACACCAGCTAATACCTGATTCATCAACAAGGCATTAAAAAAAACACCGAGTTAAATTTAGCAAAATTTAAAAATCCTTCATTGCACTTGTTTAAAACATATTTCTACCACTTTTTACTATCTAGAAATTACTACATTTTGCATCAAATTTTGGAGTTTTATAGGTTGATACTAATACATAGCCTAAACCTACAGGCTCCTGAATATTTTAGATATTAGTAAATATGCTAGATTACAAATTTGGTATGAAAAACTTTAATGAAAACATTAATCATACAAAAATTAAATAACAAAACCATTTAAAATGACTTACAATTCAAACAGATTTGGTACTGACATTTCTCTATCAGCCTGATTTCATAAGAACTAATTACTTCCAGATAAAATCTACTTACAGTAAGAAAACATGAGAATAAAGTACATAAAGCTCATAAGCCCTGTGCTCAGCACATAGTGCTCATAAATATTAGTTTTTCTTTTATTATTACTTTGAAAAGACACAGACAAGTTTTACAAAACATGCCGACATCAGCTGAAAACTTCCTACACTAGAAATAGTCACGTGTGAGGAATCTAGCCTGGCATATTCTGAAAACAATTCTATATTCCTCTGAGGAACACGCTACATAAAAATTTATTTCAATAACTGGTAAAAATTCCTCACTAATAAACCAATGTCTGGAATCTAATTGTATAACTTCATATTATAATTTAAGAGGTCTTTCAGAGAATCATTGTTTTAAAGTACAAATTACATGATGAAGAAAAGTACTTTTTAACAAGTAACTAAAACATGAAACATTGCTCTTTCTGCACATATGGCTCAGTTTCATCTTAATTTGGGAAAAAATATCTTGGTTTCAAATAGTAAATGAAATGACTATGTTAATACAAGGAAGCACAATGAACAACAACATGTTACCCTGCTACTAACTATGCCTTATGAAACACTTTATAAATCCAGTCATGCTTTTAATATCAAACAATGTTATACTGCCACTTCTCATACATTAAATTAAGATAAAGCTTAACATTCTATCCTTCTAACAACAAATGGAAGGGAACAGAGACATGAATGCGAATGTATATCATGTACAATATACACTTCCTAGTATTCCAAATTTAATAACGTATCTAAACCCAATCTGAGGTATATTAACAGGTAAAAAGCTTTAGTTCACCCCCAGGCTATGTACCAGGCGAACACACACACCACAACTGTACACACTGGAAGGAGACGATATTTATACTTTTGCCACAGCGTTAGCTCAACCGCCACTTCATCTCTTTTCCTGTTCTTCTTCCGACGACCCTTCAGTCTGTTTTCAAAAGCCTCCAATTCAGCCTAAATCAAAATAGTATTATTTTATTAAAACCAATACATACATTCGTTTAAAATTTTCCACTTAAATGAAAATACATCATTTTTGGGAAATTTTTTAATAGTAGTGATATATAAATATATTGATATTTACTGATCAATAAATATATTGATGTGATTGTTCAAAAAAATCGCTCTACTACTAATTGTATTCAACAAATTCAGACTTCAGGAAAGCAGAAAGGGAAGTGGGGAGTAATAGAAGAGTATTTCAGATGGCAGGCCTGACTTTGACACTAAATACAGAAATGATTAAATCAGAGTGCCCTAAAATATAGGCATCAGTTTTATTCTTCAACACCAATAATCTACTGGGTCTCTACAATACACAACCAACAATGACGCAAAGAAACACAAACCTAGGTATTTTGTTCAGTTACCTGTTGTTTTCGTTTTTCCTCTTCAAGAGCAGCTTTGGCTTCTGCTTCTTTTATCTGTTTACAGACATTTAAAAGTAAACCAGCATTGTAATTGTCAAATTTTATATAGAATTTTAACATCTTCTCACTGATGCTCCACTAACCATAACTACTTTTGGAAGCTTTATACTGGAAACTAGTGTTACCACGGTACTGTCTAACAGAGTGGGGCGAGGAGAGGTAAAACGTTATACCTCACACGAACACTTCAATTTAACAACCATAACAGATATTAGACCACAGTTCGAAGAGTTACAATAGTATAAACAGAAATGCTTTTAAAACTGGATTTTTTTTCTCTTGAGTAACCATACTAAGAAGCTATGATTAAAATTACTAAACACCACTCTCTTTCTAAAGTTGAAATTGACCATTTACTTCAAATGTCTTGAAGGGAAAATAGTTTCAGTTTCAAACAAAATCAAGAATTTATTCACTGACGGGGTTGAATAAGGGAAACAGTAATACAGGAGGTAACCCAGACAGCAAAGAATCCTAAAACCTTATTTTTATATTATTTTAGCCTGACTTTCAGGAGGCTCACACTAATGTTAAGATGAACGACCATGTCCCAGAGCACACGCACTAACTGGTCTAGAGGATGGAAAATCTGGTACACAGTAAATAAAAAGCACCCCTGCAGATTCAAAGTAGGCCTATAAAACTAAGCTGTAATTACAAAATCAAAAAATGAGATTTCAAGTCATTCATAATAAGAGCATTAAAAATGCACAAAATAAGCAGGGAAAGGCCACTGGCACATCAAAGACAGTATTTAATGTGACGTCACCTCAGACGCTTTCCGCTTCATCTCCTTGCACGTTGTATCGCATTCTATGGAAATCTGATTTTCACGTACTTTGTTGCACTGCAATTCCTACAAACAAAAATTTTCACATTTCGGATTTAAGACTTTTCTCTCAAAGTTCTAACTGTACGTCTTAAGCAAAAATTCTCTAACAGCTTAAAATTATGCAAAATATTTAACAGTCATATCCATTAATATTTAATAACAATATGGATGCAAGCATCAAATTTCTTGGTCCAAAGAGCGATTATTACCTTATTTTTTCTTAATTACAAAAAAACAAATACCATCAAATTAAAACCATCCATTTACTGAGTGCAACTGTTGAGAAAACTTTAGTTTTTTTTTATTTCTTGTTAATCTTCTAAAACTTCCAGGGAATAAAATGTTGAGAGCAGTGCCACCAACTGCCCTCTGACACACTGGAAACATTCTAAATCTGCACTACCCAATGGAGCAGCACTAACCACAAATGGCTACTGGGCACTCAAAGTGTGGCTAGTGAAATCCAGGAAATAATGGTTAATACTATTTAATGTTAATTCATTAAAATTCAAACTTAAACAGACATATGTGGCTAGTGGCTACCAACTCAGTGCAAGTCTAGAGCCTTTTCTAAAGAGCTACAGATTTTCCTCTCAACCCGTAAACCTTTCTTAAGTTTAAATAAAAATCATCCTACAGGTTGTATCTGCACTTCACTGTCTCCTTAAAGAAACAAAAAACTAATGTACTTTTTCCTTAATGACTTGATAGCAATACTATGATCAATTTGTGTATTATGTTATAATAAATCAAGTGGTCCTTATTTTAAGTAGTCTCAAGCTTTGATTTTATGGATCTTTTATTCATCTCCTACTTCTTGCTGCCAGATGTACTTTTGCTCTAAGGGTACCTATTTGTATCATTTCTCCTCTCTCAGACTCTAGTTTTTTAGTTTGCATCTACCAGAGTTAAGACCACCACTTCCTATAAACAAAGTGTATATGCTTCAGTGAAAGCACTTTGTAGAATGGTATTTTATTACTTAGAGGGGTTTTCCCCCTTTACTTCTTCATTTTTGGCAGATGTTGAAAATAAACACAGCTTTGTCCTCTGAGGGTAGTCCAAAACAAGAAAAAATATCATGAGCAAATATTAAAGACAAAAATGTGTGTTTGTGGACATCAAGTCTATAAGCCTGAAAGAAGGACATCTTTTTTCATTCGAAAGGTACTCAGAGTGCCCACTACATGCCAAATGCTGTGTTAGGGACAGGGGACATAATAATGAAAAGAGTATAATAATAAGTACTACACTAATAATAATAATAGCTACTATTAGCAGCTACTGTTATATTATTAAAAATTAAACATACTATGTTACTAAACATAGCAGTCATTGTGCTAAATGCTATATAAGCATCACCTCTTGTATTCCTTTCAATAAATCTATGTATTAACGTTATTTCACAGATGAGGAAACAAGGTTATAGACGTGCCTAGAACCACAAAGCTCTTGAGAAAATGCTAGGCCCCAGTACAAAGAAAGCAAAGAGGAAGAAGCACCTGCCACTAATTCTTTCCTTCACAGTCAAGGAAAGAAGACCTTCGCAAACAAGTGCTTACACTGGGTGTTGGCAGGCTCTTGTGAGCAAAGTGATAAAGAAATTTTCTGGCCAACCCAAACATTATATTTTACACAGAAGCAAGATATACATATCCACAGACAAAAAGAGACTGTAGTGTAAATGTTAGGGCACTTATGTAACACATTCACAGAGACAACTGCTAGAGGATGAGACTGGACAAGCAAGGAAAGGTAATATCATAGATTCTGTTGTATGTTGAGTCTGTGTATATGTACATGTTTCTTATAAAATGCTTATTTTTTCCCCACAGTGGATGAAGAACCACTGTGGAAGAATTTACACTGGGAAAGTATTATGATCAGAGGCTAGAAAATGTGTTATGAAGCCACTGTCCAAGAACAAGCTGTGGCCAAAGTTCTAATGGGTGGCAAACTGCCCTTGGACAATTAACATGAGATCTGAGAGAAAACTTGAGAGGCAGCCCAGAGTAAAGGTGGCTTGACTAAGTGCTGATTTTCATGTGAAGGCGGTCCAATTTAAACATCTAAAACTTAGGAATTCAACTCCAAATGAGGTCAAGCCTATAAATTTAAATTCAGAAGTTATTTACCCCAGAAAAAAGCAGTAGCAGCTATGAAAGTAAATGAAAAGACCCTCAATAAAAGTAAAAGATTCTCAATAAATATTTGTTGAATGGATAAGAGAGTCAATTTAAAGGCATGAAAAAGGAGCCTAGCTTTAGGAAATGACCACAGAAACAGGAAGACAAGAAGGAGTTACAACTGTAACTGAGAGGGGAAAAAACCAGAGGTCAACAGGAAAGTCAAGGAAAGGAGGACTAGAAAAAGACTATTCGGCCACTGGTGCACTGGCATCTGAAAACTCGAATCTTCCACCCTCAGTTTTGCCTAATGGTATATAATTTGTTGCCACTGAGCTTTCCAATAGTTAGTTTTTGCCCTCTTCCTCCTGTTACCATTATTTTATATTAAAACGAGTTCTCTCCAAGTTTGAATGTTATAATTTTATAAGGCTGTGCATGTGAGGTCTTTCTAAGACAACATTTTTAAAGCATAATACTGATGGCAAAAAAAGTTTCATAAAAGCAACAAAGGTTAATTCCAGATCATTTCTTTATTGTTGTTATTATTATTAAATTTTTAAAATATGTTGATTTTTTAGAGAGAGGAGGGGGGATGGAGAGCGAGAGAGGGAGGAAGAGAGAGAGATGCACTTTGATATAAGAGAGTTACATCGACTGGATACCTCACATATGTGTCCCAACCAGGGATTGAACCCACAGCCTAAGTATGTGTCCTGACTGGGAATTGAACCCTCAAACTTTCAGTGTAAAAAACGATGCTCCAACTAACTGAGCCACACTGGCCAGGGCCAGACTATTTCTTAAACCATGAAACTCACTTTATTACCCACATGTGTTCCTGTGCAAATACAAGTGTAGTGCCCTTTTTTTCTATCCAAAAAGGAAGCGGGGGGGGGGGGGGGGACTGAACTTGGTTCCAACATAAAAACAAAATCATCTTTTACTATTAAACTACAGAAAACAAAATGCCAAACAAAGCTGATTTTTAAAATAAGCATTTACAGGCACCTGGGTCGGGCGGAGGAAGCAGGCTACAGCCAGCTGTGACTGTGAGAGACTTGTGGCTTTTTGGAGAGGTGGTGTGTACAGAACGCTGGACAGTGACTCTGCTGCAGTAGGAGCACCCAGAGAGACTTTTTAAAAGGGGAGCTGAGGAGTGCTGGGCAGGGACCCCATGCACAGCTGCCCTGCCAGCAAGGGGAAAGGACTGAGGGAACGGTTTGGTCCCACTGAGTGCAGCTGGGCAGAGAGATCAGAAGGTGCACAGCAAAGGGATTTCTTGGTCCCAGTCTGGTCCAGCTGGCAGGAGGAGGTTGCCCAGAGTGAAGAGTTTGAGACTGTCTGCTGCGAGGGCAGTGGGCTGAGAACTGGACAGGTGGGAGTTGAACACCTGTGATTATTTATAGCTAGACAGAGCCCCCTTCCCCAGCAGAGATGAACCCCCAGGAAGGGAAGGACACACCCAGCCCCCAACTCCTGAACAAACAGGACAAGCTCAAGAACCTCCTGCAGGGTACATACCTGCAAGAGAAAGACAGAAAGAGAAACACCTAAAAGGCCCATTTTAAACAACTCTCAGGGAGACAAAATACACTGTTTCCTGAGGCCCTGTTCCACTGAGGCCAGCAAAGCAGGGAGATCAGAAATTTGTGCAGCAAGGGGGAATCAGGGCCCTGCCCAGCCTCGGCCCACACCCAGAGTGGTGCCATCAACACCAAGCAGGAAAGAGGCAACCCTCTTACACAGATTGGCCCCTCCCCTGAAACAGACAGCTAATTCATCAGAAACGATACCCTATTGGAAATAAGCTGGGGCAGACCAAGAATGATGGTACAGGGGCAGGGGAACACACCCACAATTTTCCCAGAAGACTGAACAGTGCCTTCCAGGGGAGACTCAGGGATCCCACCCTCCCAATCACAAAAGAAGCCCCCTCTAGGGGCAGGTGAAGGGGATACAGGCAGTGCTGTCAGCAGTTGGACAATCTGCCCCAGGACCTTGAGCTGATAAAACGCAGGAAGCAAATTCAGAAAGAGAAGACAGAAGGCAAACACCAAACTTGGCTGAAACGAATTCTACCTCGTTCTCCTGCAGAATTTGCATTATTTTTTTCCTTTCTTTTTCATAGCCTTTTAATATTTCTTCTTTTGTTTCAACTGTATTCCAACTAATTCACTATTCTTTGTTCCATTTCATTCTTTTTACTTAGATTTTTATATTAATTTCTTTTTATTTCAAATCTCATTGTCCCCTTCCCTTGTCTTACTCCATTTTGCCTTCTTCCTGCCCTTTCTTATTTTCCTGAACACTATGCCTTGTTCCTATTCCTTACTCTTACTATTTCTCCTCCCTCTATCCTCTCAAAATCATTCTTTCTTCCTTTAGTCAGCAAATGTTCTTTTTCCCCTCCTTATAATTTTTAATTTTCTTTCCCCCTTTATAAACTGTGGCTTATTTGGCATGGATAATATGGTTACTACTGTTCTTCAACTTCTTCTTCCTCTTTGTTCACTATTTTTTAATTTCCAATCTCAGAGGGTCCTCTCCCACTGTCTTAATCCATTTTGTCTTCCTCCTGCCCTTGCTTATTTGAGCTTGAAATTTTATTTTTTCCCTTTCTTAGCCTCTATTCTATTTATTACTCTTATCATCTCCCCTCCCCCATCCTCTCAAAATCATTTGTCTTTACTGTAGACATATTCTTTTTTCTTTCGTATAATATTATTCTCTTTCTACCTTTATTAGTTTTTGTGCAGCTATCATTGTTATTGACTTTGTTGCAGTTTTTCTGCAATTTTCTTCCCTTTAGTTCACTACTTTTTATTTCAAACCTCATATTATATGCTTCCCTTTTCTTACCTCCATTTTGTCACTACATTTCCCTGTTTTACTTACATTTTAAATTTTATTTTCTCCTTTTGCCTTGTTCCTATTCCCTTCTCTTATAATTTCTCCTTCCTTTTCCCACTCAAAATCATTTTTCTGGCAATCCAGACTCAGAAATACATTAAAAAGATCATACACCATGACCAAGTAGGATTCATCCCAGGGATGCAAGAGTGGTATAATATTCACAAATCAATAAATGTAATGTACCACATAAGCAAAATGAAGGGCAAAAACCACATGATCATGTCAACAGATGCTGAAAAAGCAGTTAATAACATACAGCATCTATTTGTGATTAAAAACACTCAGCAAAGTAGGAATAGAGGGAGCATACCTCATATATGAAAACCATATATGAGAAACCTACAGCCAATATTATACTCAATGGATAAAACTAAGAGCTTTCCCCTTAAGATCAGGAACAAGACAAGGATGTCTACTTTCAACACTCTTATTCAATGTAGTACTGGCAGTTCTAGCCATAGTGATTAAATAAGAAAAAAAATAAAAAGCATCCATATTGGAAAGAAGGAAATAAAACTGTCACTATTTGCAGATGACCTCATAGTGTACACAGAAAACCCTACAGGCTCCACCAAAAATACTACTCGACCTAATTACTGAATTTGGCAAAATAGCAGGACACAAAGTCAATATTAAGAATCAATGGCATTTTTGTACACCAACAACAAACTATCAGAAAGAGAAACTAGAGAGGAAAATCCCATTTACTATAGCAACAAGACAAATAAAGTACCTCGGAATAAATTTAACCGAGGTAAAAGACCTGCACATGGAAAACTAAAGAACACTGAAAAAAGAAACTGAAAAAGATACAAAAAAATTAAAGCATATGCCATGTTTGTGGATTGGAAGAATTAACATCATTAAAATGTCCATACTACCCAAAGCAATCTATAGATTCAACACAATTCCTATTAAAATACCAATGGCATATTTCACTGATCTAGAACAAATGTTTCAAAACTTTGTATGGAACCAAAAAAGACTCTGAATAATCTCAGCAATCCTTGAGAAAGAAGAACAAAGTAGGAGGGATCACAATACCCAATATCAAACTATACTACAAGGCCACTGTAATCTAAATAGTCTGGTACTGGCCCAAGAACAGATACATAGATCAATGAACAGAACACAGAACCCAGAAATAAACCCAAGTCTCTATGGTAAATTAATATTCGACAAAGGGGGCATGAGTACACAATGGAGCAAAGATAACCTCTTCAATAAATGGGGTTGGAAGAACTGGACTGGTACATGCAAAAAAAAAAAACAAACAAACAAGGAAACCAGACCACCAACTTACACCATACACCAGAGTAAACTCAAAATGGATAAAAAACTTAATTAAGTCATGACACCATGGAAGTCCCAGAAGAAAACATAGGCAGGAAAACTTCAGATATCCCACGTAGCAATATTTTTGCCAATATATTTTCTAGGACATGAAAAATAAAGGAAAAAATAAACAAAGAGGACTACATCAAACGAAAAAGCTTCTGCACGTTCAAAGAAACCATCATCAAATAGAAAAGGGAACCAACCATATGAGAGAATATATTTGTCAATGATACATCAGACAAGTGTTTGATCTCCAAAACATATAAAGTACTCATATGACTCAACACCCAGGAAGGCAAACAATCCAATCAAAAAATGGGCAAAGGACCTGAATAGACACTTCTCTAAGGAAGACATACAGATGGCCTGTAGACATATGAAAAGATGCTCAACGTCACTAACCATCAGAGATGCAAATTAAAACCATGATGAGACATTACCTCACACCAGTGAAAATGGCTATCATCAATGAATCAACAAACAAGTGCTGGCAAGGAGGTAAAGAAAAGGGAACCCTAGTGTGCATTGGTGGGAATGACTGGTGCAGCCACTGTGGAAAACAGTATGGAATTTCCTCAAAAAACTAAAAACAGAATTGCCTTTTGACCCAGCAATTCTGTTGCTGGGATTATACTCTAAAAATCCTGAAACACCAATTCAAAAGAACTTATGCACCCCCATGTTCATAGCAGCACTATTTACACTAGCCAAGTACTGGAAACAGCCTAAGTTCCCATCAGTAAATGAGCTGATCAAAAAACTGTGGTTTATTTACACAATGGAATACTACAGAGCAGAAAGAAAGAAGGAACTCCTACCTTTTGCGACAGCATGGATAGAACTGGAGAATATTATGCTAAGTGAAGTAAGCCAGTTGGTGAAAGACAAACACCATATGATCTCACTTATAAGAAGAATCCAATGAACTAACGAACAAAATAAACTAACGAACAAAACAGAACCACAGGCATGGAAAATATGGAACAGACTGAAAGTGACCAGAGAGGACAGGGGAAGAGGATAATGGTGGAAAGAAGGGGAAGGGACTAGACAAAGAACATGTATGAATGACCCACACACATGGACAACACTGTGGGAACTGACTATGGGAGCAGGGGATGGGATAGGCAAAGGAGGGCAAAGGGGGGAAAATTGGGACAACTGTAACACAATAACGATAAAAAATGACTAAATATTTTTAAAAAGAAAAGAATAAGAAAAGCTAACCTTTCAAAAATATTAAAGGCCAATAAAAATAATTCTCCTTACATCCTGGTTAAAAAAAAAGAAAAGCATTTACAGAAATAGATGGGATAAGTTTCTAAGAAATAGGACTTGCCCTGGCTCCTGGTTGGAGTGGCTCAGTGGATTGAGCGTTTGCTATGAACCAAAAGGTCGCTGGTGCAATTCCCAGTCAGGGCACAAGCCTGGGCTGCAGGCCAGGCCCCGGCTGCAGGAGTGCAAGAGACAACTGATCAATGTTTCTCTCCCTCTCTTTTTTCCTCCCTTACCCTCTCTCTAAAAAATTAATAAAATCCTAAAAAAAAAAAACCTTAAAGTTAAAAGGCTAAAAAATAAAGCCAAAGAACTACTAAACACAGGAAAAGAGAAGTGTGTACAGAAAAGATATGCAATAACTTAAAATATTTACCTTTTTTATTCTTTTACAAGGACATCTAAGTTTTACCTTCTGGTTGCAATTAAAAGGACATTCACCAGGATGGCACATCTCTTTGCATCTATGACCACAAGGAAGCTAAAACAAAACCAAAATAAAGCAGTTACATATTTATATTTAGTCATACTCTACCTCCCCTTCTCCCAGCTACTATTTTAAAAAAGAGTCCATCATAATAGGATCAACCAATCCTGGATAATCAGCTAATTTTTCAACTTTTTCTTTAATTAACCCTAACTATAATCAAATCACATGACCCTGTTAGCTGTGCCAGTCTGTGTTATCTCAAAAGCCAGGTTATAGTCTGAAAGAGCTGAAAAATAGTCACAAAGAACACCAATTAGAATGCATAATATATAATGACTGTACCTTCATTGTAGATTTCACAGGGAAAGGTTTTTCTAAAACATCCAATCCTGATATCCATTTAAAGATGAGATGCCTTCCCTTTCCACTCAAAGTGAGATGGTCTTCTTCTACCTGACCCAGCCCCTAACGTCATTCTGCTAGTACTTTGGTAAGTCATATCAAATGGCTTATCGATAACCTATAATGTCTAGTTCAAAAATGTTCCACTTGAATGCCAATGATTTTAAAAAGCTCTCTAAAGATATAAAGAAGGCCTGTAAAACAATACTGTTTGTGGATAAATACACTTGACGTCATCACCATAGCTGGTACTTACCATACACTAAGATCTTTACATGTTATTAACTCATTTAATGCTCAGACAACTTTCTGCAGTGGGTGTTATTGTTGCTTCCATTTTACAGATGAACAATTTGAGTTACAGAGAGGTTAAATAATTTGCCCAAGTGAAAAGTAGAAAAGTTTGTGTTGATAATAAAACCAAATTAAGAAAATAATACTTAAAGTACAGATGTACAAGTATATGTGAGACACAGAAGTTGGGAGTTCTTAATGGTACCTTTAAATGTTCTTTTAGCTAAATCTAAACCTAATGCAACAATCCAGAAGACAGACTGCATACCAGAGAAGTAGTAGAGCTGAAAGGATATGCCTATGCTATTTCATTCATATTCAATAAACACTTCCCAGGTGCCTAATACGTACAACCAGGGAACCAGGGACTAGATACGAAGGTAAATGTGATATAGTCCCTGCCCACAAGAAATCTACAGTGTGGGAAGGGGAGAATGAAGTAAACAAGAATATATCAGTACACTAGAATTTATCAGAATCCCACACCTTAACTGAGTATAAGATATCTACTGCAGATTAAAGTAAGAGTTCTTGGCTGATCTAAGTATGACCTATTCTGTAGCCTACTGGTTCTCAAAGTGTGGTCCCAGACCAACAGTATGGCCATTATGTAAGAGTTTATTAGAAATGCAAATACTCCAGGCCCAGAAAGTGAGGAACTCTGGGGTAGGGCCCATCAATCTGTTTTAATAAGTCCCTAAAGTGATTCTGATGTAGGCCAGAGTTTGAGAACCACTGCTGTAGCCTTACCAATGTCAAGAAGCCATATACTAGAATGAGTTCTATTAGACACATTGAAATTCACTTGTCTACTCCTAGGTTTTTCTAAACTATGTGATAGCCATTTGTATTGTTCCTAGCCTAAGGCTATAGTTTTCAACAAAGCCCAAGGATACTCTAGAGTAACAGAGGGACTCTAGAATGGCCTAGAATCCAAAACCATGAGCATGGATACAAATTTTTAAATCAACAGTCCCCACTCATCTAGAACCAGCAAACATCATTACAGATCACCAGAGCCAAGGCAATGCTGGATTGCAAATCAACGATTGCTGAATAAAATTATCATAGTTCTAACTAATATCATACCAAGTTACCATGTCAGATTAAAAATAAATCATTCTCAACTAATTTATTACCTGGAATCTGAATTTGGATAGAAGAAAAATTTTTTATAAGAAAAACTCAGGATTTGAAGAATTTAGAAAATTAAATTTGCAATATCCCATGCCTCTAGTTTTACTTATGTTAACAAAGACAGACTAAATAATCATTTATTGTTTCAAATGTTCTGCTATTTTAAATCTTATATAAATTTTGAAATTTGCAGCGTTTAGTTTTTACACAAAAATCCATAAAAGTGTCCAAAGTTTTAGTTAAAAGAAATACTGTTAGCAAAATGGTATGTCAGGCATTGATTTGTTATATTTCATTAGAGACAGACTGCCACATTTAAGATTTTGTTGGCATCTCCTCCTGACCAAGAATTAAAAGAGGTACTATTAGTACATCTATAAGCCAAAGGATTCCTGTATAAACGTCCAACCAAATCAAATAATTGTCACTGCCCAACCTCCAACCTTAAAAAAAGGAACATCCTCACTTTTAGATTGGCCAAATACAGATGGATAACTTTGGTTTCTCCAATTATTGCCAAGATAAATCCATGGTGAAATTTTCCCATTTTACTCTGAACAATATTTTCGAACCACTTTTTATCCTTTTAGTTAGAATACAATGTACATACAAACTTCTGAGTCTTTAAAAACAAAACTTTATATATAAATGCTTTATACTAATCAATTCCAAATAATAATGAACTTTAAAGTTCTCACACACACACAAACATACATGTCTTTTTTAATAGCCTACTATAAATTTACTCTCTAACTGCCTACAACCCACACAGTTCTTGATCTATTTACATTTTAAGTCTGAATCACATTATGGGAAGTAAACATTAAGTAAATACCTTATTGCATAAAGTATATAAGCTATCTTTAAAACTACTTAAAAAATAATCTTCAAAGGTCATTCCTAGTCCTAATATCCCCAAATTTCATAAAGAGATGTGTGTCTACCCTAAACATATGCATTACCTTTTTACAGACATCACATTTTTATTTCTGGACACCTATTTTTATTGGGTCCAGAAAAGACCTGAAATAGGATGTCCAAACAAGAAAAGAGAAAATGCAAAAGAAACCATGCCCAAAAAATACAACTTACCAGGTTCTATTAAAGCTTACCTCTTTAGGACATTGATTTTTGCAACAACTGAGGAGGTTCTTTTCATTTACATCAGCTGTGGTTATTTTCCTAAAAATGGGAGAGAAAGATTTGGTGACATTCAAACCAAGATGATTTCATAGCATATTTTCCAAAAACAACTCACAATTCTAAGCATTATCTATAAGACGAATTCTTTTTTGAGAATTATTTTGTGTCTCTGTAACAATTATCTTCCCAATTACTTTACTGTTCTGATAAACCTTCCAGCCCTTCAGCAACTACAAACAAATCAAATGTCAAAAGGACAATCATTACTAGAAAGGATGTATGAAACACACATGAAATATCATGTATACCTGGGCTCTCTTTAACAGTTCCTGTACTGTGTTTCCCTATAGGTCAATCATTATTCATAATTATAATTATTCCTTTTTTAATTTTACTTATTTCTTTTTTCTGGCTTCCATTTATTTATTTTTAGAGGGGAAGGGACAGAGCAAGAGGAACAGAAACATTAATGTGCAAGAGAAACACTTTTCTCTTCCCCATTTTCTTCTCCTTTTCTTTATTCTTTCTTTTCCTGCTTTTTCTATTTCCCTTTGCAGGACATAATTGCCAAAATATACCATAAAGTTAGCCTCACTAATGCCAAAACTATAATTTTAATATTTGTATCAAATTAGCTATAAATGTACTCTAACACAGGCAATTTTCTTGGTAAAATTTAACTTAATATCACAAAGTTTTTACGCTAGCTCAACTGAATGTGTACATTTTCATTCTTACAAGAATGGCACCCACTTCTGAATTCAGTGAGTTAAAATCATTTTGTTCCTATTACTCTATAATTAGGAAAAATTACCTATTCTTCACGGTCTGTATCATTTATAATTAATTTCTATAGAAGAAATATACATGAAGCAGAAAAGAACTAAAAGGGAAAGATGACTTATCAAATAATTTGCTGAATTAATGCAAACAAAATTATCAGAATACTGAGACTAAAGAATTCTATATAAAAACATATTTTAAACATGTATTCAAGAAAGGGAAAAAGGAACTCTGGAAAGCTGAGACAATAGGAGCCACCTCAATCCAAACGTATCCACACATCCCTCCAAAAAACTGTTCACCTCATCAATAACAAATTCGCTCAAATCCCATGACCTTGGCATAATTAGAAGACAGAAATGCCTACAAACTTCAAATTATCTGTAAGTAGAAAAGTAAATACCAATTCTTAGCAGAGCTACTTCTCAAGCTCCCATAGGAAACTTTTCAAGAAGCCAGTGAAGTTCTGGAAAAACTAAACAGAAAAGTGGGAAAGCTAACCTTACACCAGAAAAAGATGCCCTGGCTGGTGTGGCTCAGTGGATTGACTGCCAGGCTGCAAACCAAAAGGTCACCAGATCAATTCTCAGTCAGGGCACATGCCTGTGTTGCAGGCCAGGCCCCCAGCTGGGGGCACTCAAGAGGCAACCACACATTGATGTTTCTCTCCCTCTTTTTCTCCCTCCCTTCCCTTCTCTAAAAATAAATAAAGTCTTTAAAAAAGTTAAAAAAAAAAAAAAAAAAGAAAGTCAACCCTTGTTGGGAACTGCCCTGCCTGGTTTCAGAAGCTGTAACCCTCCATGGCTAATGCTGACTAAAAAGACCTTGGGATGATAAGCCACTAAGGAGACAAAACTTATCCTCCTGGCAGGGGTACAGCCTCTGCCCCCTAAATTATTTCACCCTGCTTGGCCCCTGGAGGATGACTGGTCAGTCAATGATGGGTAAGGTTCCTCAAGGGAGGAAAAACCTACGATAGGCACAATCACGAAGGGACCATCAGGGAAGGACTTAGGGGACTACAGAAAAGGGGTGATAGACCTTCACCCCTCAGCTTTGTCATAGCCTGAGTCTTCATTCTATCTGTAAGAAGTCTCCTAATCTCTTGGCTGCCTTACTTCCCCCATCTGACTTAAGCCTAAAACAATGCTGGAGGCGGTGCCGCCCTGTGCAGGAACAAGCAGTTCCCAGGGCGATCAGGCCAAAGAAAGAATGCATAAAATCCTGTGAAACCTGCTCTGCTGAGAGTGCCCTCAATTTAAATGTTAAGGGTCCAAGCATAAAATGAGTTTGTTTCCCAAAGTTTTATGGCCCTTTGGCGTCACTCTGTCTATTTGACCCTGACTCAGAATAAGCCCTCATCGTTCTTTGAATGTTTTCCATTCCTTGATCATTACTGCCTGACAATGATGATGAGCTTTACATATATGCCCTGTATTCCAGTGCAAACTAAACCCAATACAAGCCCACTGAGAAAAAGGCTCAAGGCCCTTCTCCTCTGAGAGACTGGTCAGCCTTTCCTCCCCAAGCAGATTATGTCTTGGTAGACTTATTCTCATCTGAAGCAGCTGGGGGGGCTCTTCAGGTAGAGCCCTCCCACACACCCTAAGTATAAAAACACTAAAAAAAGTCTTGGTAGTTAAGAACACTAACTACAAGGAGGAGAATTTTAAAAGTGTACAACCAAGGAACCAACCTTGGAAAGACAGCATTCTGGGGGAAAAAAGGTAAAAAGGGAAAGACACCCTTCCTACTTGGGTGGCTCAGTTGGTTGGAGAATTGTCCCATACACCAAAAGGTTGTGGGTTCAATCCCTGATCAGGGCACATGGCTAGGCTGGAGGTTCGATCCCCCATCCGGGTGCAAACTGGAGGCAAGGGATTGATATTTCTCTCTTACATCAATGTTTCTCTCTCTCAAATCAATAAATATATTCTCAGGTAAGGATAAAAAAAAGGGAAAAGCATCTGTTGAAGACTACATGATGAAAAGAAAAAGAAGAGGAAGAAACTTAAAGCCCAGCAGAATCAAAGGAAACAATCCCTTTTGTCAGTATCATCCGTTAATAAAGCAAAACTACCCTCTTAACTCTGCCTATAAAACTTCTAAAGCTAAAAATTGTAATATTTTATTTTTTTAAATTGTAAAAACAATATTGATTAATATAACAAAGCATGAATCTAGAGAGTTTAAGTGACAAAAACAAATTTAAAATAATGTTCACAGATATTTTCCAAAAAGTATTTATGCTCAAAAAACTCACAAATAAAATTACATTCTCAAATTTACCTTGAGTTAAATCTTACAAAAAGCCCATTTTATAGAGTTGGAAGAAATGGAACTGAGTGAGTCTGATCATGATTAACTGAAGTTAGATAATAAATAGAAAAAAATGGAAACTTGTTTTCCTCCACATAATCCACAAGCAAAATTTGCATTTTTTTAAAGTAAATAGGTCATATCCTGTATGATAATGCCATGACAGAAACATTTGTAACAAACAAAACTCTAGCTTTTAAATCTATAATTTAAAAATTACACTTAAGTAATTACATGCAAATCAAATTTGAGCCAATGAAATTCTAGTTTGTCACTGTTATTTGAACAATCATTACAAGAGTGCTTCTCCTACGTCTTTTTAAAAGCAGTGAGACAATTTTTTTCCTAATAAAATCTTATATGGAATCCCCAAACAGGAAAACTCAGAAATGCCCTGGTTGAAAAAGTGTCAAGTATCTACAAGGTGAAGTAGTTTACATTTCTTCCAGGTCTTTAAAGATAATCTCGGCCTCCTGAGTCTAAGGACCACCACTGAAAAATATTCCTTACAGCATACTACCTATAAAGGGTTCCGAATTAAAAGAGGGTATCAAAATAACGTTAGGAAAACAAGAATATTTCTTCAGTCCACTTACCTACATTCCACAAACAGGGCTGTGATCTTGCAGTGACATTTTATTCTAAGCATCTGAACACAAGGAGGACATTCTCCAGGGTGACATGGCAGAACACATGGGTGGGGACAGCCCACTGGTCGTGATTTAGAGCACCCTTCTTCACACTGGAGGCATTCTGGGCCAGCCTGACACATTGCAAGAAAACAAATCACCTAAGTACAAAAGTCTAACATTTCTATACAGTAGTTATAAAATTTATACACTCCATTAAAAGAAAGTACTTCTGTAGTTCTTAGAAATATAGTTAATAAAATGTATTAACTGTATTGAAAATCACTCATTTTTAAAATATTCAAAATGGAGACCAGCAAGATTACCAATATGATCACTATTCACAAAGACTTTTGTCTAGAAACCTTATTAAATCAAACTGCCTCACCTTTAAAATGGACATGATTTCATTAAATATCTCTACTAAAAATGTATTCTTTACATCCTAAAGAATAGTCAGTGGTAGAAAAACAAATACAGAGTAAAAGATTTTCAGTTCATGTAGACCCAACAGGTATGATCATCATCGAACTAAAGGAATCCATACATTGTTAACACATAAATAAAAATTGCCAAAGCATTCAATGTCTGGGGATAATCATATTTTGCTGAAGAGAAACACATATAGAGAAAAAAAGGAGAATGAATTTACTTTTAATGCACTTCACTAATGCAAAACTGAACTGTATTTAGTACAAATAAATATATCTAAATTGTAAAACTGTAACTTAACAAGTCACCTCTCTCCTCTGGTAATTTAATAATTTAAGTGTATGTATCTAACAAGAAAGGTTAAACATATTTTTTTTCATGATCTGAAAGTTTTGTATTTCCTGAAATGGAACCATTGTACATTGTTAAAGATTTTTATTACAAAATACTGTTTATTTTCACATCATACCTGACATAAATAAAAGAGCTATAGATATGGATACTAAGTCTTAAAGGTTAAACATTTTTCATTATCAACTTTTAAAACTAGCTTTCCCAATTCATCCAACTTTCTGGAAATCCCAGGAGGAAAGCAATCCTAATTTTAAGTAATGGGATGATGAGAAAAAAAGCAGAATAAACATTTGGGGTACTATCACAAATTAGAAAATGAATCTTGGTAAGTGAAACTTTTTTCCTTATTTTATTGAAATATATTTGACGTATAAATTCAAGGTGTTCAAAATGTTAATTTGATACATTTATATATTACAATATGAGTTCACTATAGCAATAATTAGCACCACTATCATGTTACAGAATTATCCTTTCTTTTTAGTAGTTGGAATAATTCTAGTCTCTTAGCAAGTTTAATGATTATAATAAAATTCTTTTTTTAAAAAACTCAATGAAACATGACACATCACACACATTGCCTTTAGCAGTGTTCTCAAACATCTTTGCGCATTATCAATCACTTGAGAATCTTGTTAAAACGCTAAGGTACAGCCTGAAATTTTTGCATTTCTAACAAAATTCCAGCTGATGCCAATGCTACTAGGCTGCAGACAACACTACAAGTCCCAAGAGTCTATAATATACAGAATTACATAAAGAGGTATGTATATGTGATTATGTATTTATATATTTTTTCTCTTACATGTACTTTTGGTGACAGATTTTCCCCCTAAAAAGACTTTCCTCCTTACTCCATTTCTTCTTTCAGTCACTCAAACATACTGGATCCCACACCTGCCTGGGAAACACTCACTATTTCAATTGCCATCAGCCTCATACCTTTCCCATCAACCTCAGTTCCACTCACTATAACCAATGAATTAGACAACAGGAACATTTGTTGCTAATGGTGACAATCAGAGCCACTGCATTTAACAGACTTGATTGGACTAAGATCTGTGGGTAAGGTGAGGCAAGGAGACCAGAGCACAGCTGATAAGCAAAAAAGCTTGAAGGCCAGTCAATTCAAGAAACACTTACTAAATACCTCTATGTTGTAGGCTCTGTTCTACAACTGATGGCAGAAACTGCATTAAAAATTCCAGAGGCATTTGGGTCAAGAGATACATACTAGAAGCCTTTCTCCAGAGGATCTCAATTGAAGTGTTATGGTAAGATAAGAAATTCTTTCAAGTTTCTTTATTATTTTGCTTTTAATATATAAATTAGAATGATTACAAAGTTATCCCCAAAATAATGTAACTTCCACTCACTTGCACTGCAGTAGCCTTCCCTGAGCGAGAGATATGGACCTGCAGCTAAATTGAGAAAAATGGCACATAACTTATAACCCATGTTTTGCCACATCCACTGCCCCATAAGCAATGGTGAAACATTCAGTGAGAATTCCCCAATCACTGTCAGTCATATCAGCTCTAGAGATGAATTTTCTGACTCATCTGATACTCTAAAAACCTCAAGGCAGAATGCTATATAGCAGCAGCTACGCCTTACAGTTAAAATGTATTTGAATCATTACAATTCCCTATTTAATTTTATAATTCCAGTATCTTTTTCATTTTAGCATGAAAAAATTTTATTGAGGAACACGACATGGATTAATGAGGAAATTATAACACATCTACACATGAGCAAGAATGATACTATGGATATTTATGTTGTCATACATTCCAGTTACCAAATCAAAAGCCAAAAAAGCTAACAATGCAACTGAAATTTTCAATACAATTCATATTAATAATTAAACATTTATAAATTTAATGTTACTTAATAAATATGAAGCTTAAAAGTTTTTGGCTTATTCTTCATTAAGCACACTTGCTATTATAATGATTCCCTATAAAATGGGAGTCTATGAAAAAACAAGTTACTTTAAAAATAAAATTTTATTTAAAATTTGATTAGCTACATTTGTTTTTCCTAATAAAATGGCAATTTTTAGAGATCTTTGAATTGTCAATTTCTGATATGGTTATAAAATGCTTTTACTGAATCTCACACACATAGACTCAGACATCTGTGATACATTTACTTTACTGCCAACAAAAGTCTGGGTAGTTATTAAAACTGCAAGCATCATCTATCACACATGTCAGGTTCAAAAACAGCTGAAAGCCAATTCAGAGACATCTATAAGCATGGACGCGCTCAACCTCGGAACCTTACCTTGGTTTTGCCAGTGCAGGCAGCAGTTTCCGTTACCTTGTGGCATTCTTTCATGCATGTGTGATTCTGACAATCTAAGGTGCGCCCACAAACTCTCTTACAAGAATAGGGTCCTACAGCATGGCATGGCAGTGGACTCACCTTAAAAAAAAGAAAGACAATCAGCACAACATACACACACACACACACACCTTTTAGACCCATGTTTCCAAAACAGCTGTTACCATTCGATAACAAGTTTCACAAAGGTCTGACACATTTTCACTAATAATAATGATCAAAACCAAAGTAACCTATCAAAAAACCAATAAAATGAATGGCAAGAAGCAAAACATTCTTTTCCTAAAAGGGAAATTCAATACGATTCTGTAGTAAATGCATATTTATAAACTAATTTTCAAATAAAAGCACTGTGTATTTTTATAATTAGTAAACAGCCCCAGCCGGTGTGGGTCAGTCGGTTGGGTGTCATCCCACAAACAGAAGGGCCGTGGGTTGACTTCCCAGTCGGAGCACATGCCTGGGTTGTGGGTTCAGTCCCCCAGCGCACATACGGAAGCCGATAGATTGATGCTTCTCTCTCACATCTGTGTTTCATGCCCTTTCTCTTCCCTTCCCCTCTCTCTAAAGTCAAAAATAAAATAAAAAATAAAATAAAATTAGTAGACAAATTATTGTCTTTAAAACACTGAAATGATGATACTTTGACTTCATTATTTCTAACAACCCTAGTATAGAAAGGGTGTAGATGACAAGCTTTATTTAAAACTTGTTCCAGTAACTCACCTCGTGCTTCCCAAGACACTCCCTGCAAAAGAAAAAGAAAATGAAATTAAAACACCATAAATTCTTCCAATAAAATACCTAAAGCAAAGATGCTAAATTTACTAATTTGTTTTATTAAGAATAAAAAACATATGGAAATACGTGATCACAGAAATGCTGCAGGATACAAAATTAATATACAAAAGATAACTGCTTTACTATTAACCAGCAATGAAAAACTAGAATTTGAAAACATAAAAAATACCACTGTTTGTATTAACACAAAAAAGTTAAATACTTAGGTATTCATCTAATAAGATATATTTAAGATCCATATGAGGAAAATTATAGAACACTCATGAAAGAAATCAAAGATCTAAATAAATGGAGATATATTCCATGTTCATTGACAGGAAAGTACAATGTTGATAAGATGTCACTTCTTCCCAACACACTGTAGATTCAGCACAGATCCACTCAAAATCCCAGCATGCTATTTTATGGACATCAACAAACCAATTCTAAGATCTATATGAAAAGACAAAAAGCCCAGAACAGATAACCCAGTACTGAAGAAGAATAAAGTCAAAGGATTGACACTAACCAACTTCAAGAAATGCAAAACTATAACACAGGAGAAAATCTAGGTGACCTTGAGTTTGGTGATGACTTTATAGACACAATACCAAAAGCATGATCCATGAAAGAAAAGGGTCAAGATGGTCTTCATCAAACCAAAAACATCTTCTATGTGAAGAATACTTAAATGAAAAAGTATTAAATGAAAACACTTATATGAAAAGACAAACCACAGAATGAGAGAAAATATTTGTCAAATACGTATCTCATAAAGGATTTGTATCCAAAGTATAAAAAGAACTCAAAACTCAACAGTAAGAAAGCAAACACCCAATGAAAAAATGAACAAGATTTAAACGAAAAGCAGACACTTCATGAAAGACAACATACAGATGGCAAATAAGCACACAGAAAGATGCTCAATATCATATGTCATTAGACAGCTGCAAATTAAAACGAGATGCTACTGTACACCTATTAGAATGGCTGAAACCCAGACACTGACCACACCAGATACTAGCAAGGATATAGAGCAACAGGATATTTCATTCATTGGTGGTGAGAATGCAAAATGGCACAGCCACTGTGTCAGACAGTTTGGCAGTTTCTTACACAGCTAAATATAGGCTTACCATATCATCCAGCAATTGTACTCCTAAATATTTTCCCAAATGAGTAGAAAACTTATGTCCATTGAAAAACCTGCACATGAAGGTTTACATCGGCTTCATTCATAATTCCCCAAAGTTAGAAGCAGCCAAAATGTCCTTCAAAAGGTGAAGAGATAGACTATGGTACATCCATAAAATGGAAAATTATTCAGTGATCAAAAGAAATGAGCTATGAAGCCATAAAAAGACCTGGAGGAATCTTAAATGCGTATTTCTAAGGGACAGAAGCCAGTCTGAAAAGGCTGTACACTGTATGATTCCAACTATATGACATTCTGGAAAAGGCAAAACTATAAAGACAATAAAAAGAACAGTGGTTTCCCAGGCATTCCAGGGGGAGGAAGGCAAGGGATGAGCATGGCACAGGACATTTGTAGGGCAGTGAAACTATTCGGCATGATGCGTACAAAATAATCTTCCTGTAAAACAGACTAAGGAAGTCAAAGGTAAGTAAGTGATTATGATGTGTCAATTTTAAGGCTTATGAATCAAAATATCAATGTCTCTTATTCTGTTTCCCCAACACAAAAATTTAGGCCATTGATAATCACTAATAATTCAAACTTAGTAAGGGAAACTACAGACAACTTGGTCTCCCACAGACACAGAAGTCCTCAGTAAAAGAACAGTCTCTAATAAATACTGACTGAATATGTACATAAAGAACCTTTGTGGTAACTATACCTCCCCCTCCACTAAATCTACAGACTAAAATCACCCTACTTGTCAATATAACTCTCAATAACACTTTACCTCCCAACCTGCCTGTCCAACCAACACATAAAAATATACATGCTATTTATACTGAAAGGAACGCTGTGAAAGGACAAAACAGCAGTGAGAGCTTTTAAAAGTAGACGGATACACCAGACATATCGAATTCAATGTGGAACTTCAGGTGTAGACAACAGCCTCTTTTGTAATTTTATGCTGCGTCCTAGTGCTGTGCTTCCTGTGCCCCTATGTTCCATACCTTCAGCTGGAAGTATGAACATTCTGGAATTCCCTCTCACCCCAGGTATGACTCAGTCCAGGTCATTTGCTGACCAATCCCAGAAACGACTTCCTTTCATTTTCAACATTTCCTTCAAACACTCTTCTTCAAGTTTGTCTTATGTAAAACCTGGCTTTCCTTTGTCCTCACGGAGCTTAGAGACTAGCATGAGAAATCAGGAAAACTAACATGATGATCTCTTAGCTATATTATTGTAATTATAAGCACAAATTGTTATGGAAGCTAAGAAGAAAATCGAACTCTAGCTGGAGGAAAAGATTTAAAAAAATGTCAAAGGAGTTCTAAAGCAGTATGCAAAATGTATTTGGAAAAGAATGAAGCTGAACACAGGGGAAACAGCTTTTAGGTTAGCTCTAAAATGATGAATAAAGAAAATCAGAAAACGGTGACTTAAGATACCCTTTGAACTATGTCAGAGACATTTTTAAAAGTTAAAATTCTAATACTTACATGGGAATAGGAACTTGACATGGAGGACAAGGTAAAGCAGTCTGAATAAATGTTGGCTCAGAAGGCTGTTCCCAAGGGCCTGAGGGCTGGTGCTACAAGTAAAACATAGAATGATTTTCAGTCGGAGGGACAAAAATCACACTGGTCATTAACAAGAATTTAAGAAAATAGTTTCATGTATCCTCCACTCAAGCAGGCTGAAAATTTTTAAAGAAATCAACAAATAGTGCTTGCTAAAATACTCTATTCCACCTATATTCTATGAGCTATATTCACCTATGTCACCTATATTCTATTCTTGTTCCCCTCCACACACACTTGATATTAAAAACTGAGGCGGACTCGACTTTTTAAATGGCAGTACGCAGGCAGTATAGCCTCCTTTACTTCTCATTAGCCAAAAGGACAATGAGAGATATAATTGTAAACTCCAACTTCCACCAGCAGAATGTAGTCTCCATTTTCTGGTTCACTATTGTCTCCCCACCACCTAGAACAATATTTAGCTCATACTAACAGCTCAATAAATATTCATCGAAAACGTGAATGAATCTTTGAGAAAATCAGGAGACAGCCATAACCCTAAACTACAGACGTGAAGGAAGACTGCCAAGTTTATCTCTATCTTGAAGACAACATGACTATGACGCTGTATTTGCAAATACTTGTTTATTGATCTCTTGTTTTCTATATTATAAGCCTCTTAAAACAGAACACCAAGTCTTAATTGGACTTGGAAGCCCAATTAAATTGGAAGACCAATCTTGTATTCTAGTTCCTATCACAGTGCTTACCACCAAATAAATACTTATTCATTACCTGTTGAATAACTAAGTAAAATTTTAAAAACATGACCCACAGCAATTCACTGTCTCTGAATAATACAGTTCTCTTACCCTGCCAGTTTGCTTTATTAATGCTTGATCGTGACATGGAGCAGGACACAAGTGGCCACATTTCTCCAACACTTTTTGGCAAGGCTGATGACATGGAGGACAAGGGCCAAAGTGACAGCGATGTTTTTCTTGACTTGTATGATGGCAAGTTGGTGGTCGACTAAGTCATAAAGTACAATTTTTTAAATTACTTTTGATCATTGAAAAAATGTATTTAAAATACAGTTATCTATTTATATATCTTCTGATTCCATACAGAACAAGAACATATTGTGAATATTATTTTAATACATTAAAGCAAATTGAAAATACTAGTATTAAAAATCATTATGAATTTAAATTGGTAAGACACAAATGCATCAGTTTGTGCAAAGCTTCAGACTAACCTGCACTGTTCTTTGCACTTGGGTGGTCTTGTGGTACGCTCGCGGCCACAGGGTACCGTCACCTTTGTATTACCGCAGTTGCACTTCACGTCTACAGTTTCTGGGCAAGGATAGCAACTACCTGGAAAAAAAGCATGGAACTTAAAAATCTGCTTAACTACCTAAATGCCCATCAATAGTAGAATCAGTGAGTTTTGTGTGTTTGCACAATGGGATATTCTACATGAAAATGAAGAAACTACTCTATAAGAATGAACCACACACACTTAATACTGAGCAAAGAAACCAGAAGAGTAGGTTGTATATGATTCCATTCACATAAAGTAAACAGAAAAACTAATCCATAATGTTCAAAGTCAGGATGACGGATATGAAGGGTTTTGGAAATGCTGGTAATGTTTGGTTTAAGGATTTGAGTTCTGGTTAAATGGATATGTTCAGTTTGTAAATATTCATCAGGTAGAACAATTATGATTTGTATACTTTTTCTATAGCAAACTTGTGCTTCAATAAAAGTTTTAGAATATTCTTTAAAATGTGCTAAAAGTTAACATATCACTCATTCACAAGATAAATGGATCTAAGTCTTTGGAAAATCTAATGCTAACAATAATCTCTTTGGCTTATTTTCATACATACTTCTATTCAAGTATCTTAGTTTTGAATAAGTTCCCTGATAAAGTAAATTCTCTCATCAGTACAGTCCATTTTCCATTACTCATATTTTGTGAAACTAAATTCCAAACCCTCATTTTAGGTTATAATTCCAAATATTTCTCTTCTAAACATTTCAAAAGGAAAAGATACTTGGGCTTCAGCTTTGTAACCTTCTTTTGTTATGAGTTGGTAGAAATACACAAAAACAAAATGAAAGAAACCTTTTTAAACATGTTATCAAGTTCTGGCCAAAGCTCAGATGTCATTTTGAGGGCCTTCTTCCTACTCTAGTTTTCCCAATATGGTACCCCATATGAAATGAAATAAAGAAATTAGAATCTTCCACTAAACAGTGAGTATATTATGAGATTGCTGCCTAGGTGTCAGGACCAAGCAAAATACTGACTAGCAATTAATATGATAAGAAACAGACTAATGATGAAAAATAGTCAGGTTTATTAAAGCCTCTAAAAGTTCAAAATAGTTCCTCAAACAGCAGAATTGGGATTCAACTAATGAACAGAGAAAAAGGAAATGAGAGTAAAAGGCACCACAGGGAAAAACATACATGTGCTGTACAAATTACCAAATTTATACTTTAGTGTTTTAATAAGTAAAAAATAATCCAGTGAAGTACTGTCTTTTATTGAATATTTTCATTAAATTTATTGGGGTAACATTGGTTAATAATATTATATAGATTTCAAGTATACAGTTCTATGATACATCATCTGTATATTGCATTATGTGCCCACCACCCAAAGTCAAATCTTTTGTTACATATATCTGATTACCTTTACCCTTAATTAGCATCCCACCCCCTTCCCTCTGGTACCACCATATTATTGTCTGTGTCTATGAGTTTTTGTTTGTTTTTCTTGTTTGTTATTTGTTGCTTTCAGTTTTGTATCCCACATGAGAGATATCATAGGGTTCTTGACTTTTTCTGACTGACTTTGCTTAGAATGATATTCAGTGAAGTATTATCTTGATGGCAATGCAAGTGAAATTATCCTTACCCACATGACCAAATTTTGAGTTTTCCAAAAGAAAAAGTGAATAGCAACATTTTTAAGAGTGACGTTTAAGTCCATTCTAATTCAGTATATCAATTTCCATTTTTGATAATAATAAATTTCATTCATCTTCAGCAATCCAAAGAGGACCTTATCAAAAACAACATTTTTGCCACTCTGAATTGCAGTATCACTTTTTCTTTTGTTTAAATATTAAGAACAAGGGGTAATTTCTATAAACAGTCTTCCTACTGATCAACAGCATTTGTTACAGATACCTGTACAACATGACAGATACAACAACTTCAGATGTAATACTTTTTAAATTAAAAAGCAGCATACAGAATGTAACCACCAATGTAGGCATTAGTCCAGTAATTCTAGAAGACAGATGACACTGAACTTAAAAGAGCTACATTAAACTTTCACATATTCACAGTGCAAACATGCAGTCAGCACCCCCACCCTATTAGCTACAGTATAACTTTTGATTATGAAGGTGTCTAGAATAATGGAAAATTTTATGAAATAATGATTCTATATATCTTATATAACTGTGGATTTAAAAAATGGTGAGGATTGTACAACAGTGTATTCCTCATACTTTCCATCAAAGTAAATTTTGTAAGGAGCCAGTATATTTCTTCAAAAAAATAAATAAACAAACACTCCAAAAAAAATAATAAAACATTGAACATGGGTCTGATCGGACATCCAGACTGCACTAACAATTTATAGAAAACACAGACAAAAATGTGAAATAATACGATGAGATGCAATCTTCAAAATCTAGACTCTGCAACACTGAATAAAGCAACCTAGTTTCTTAAATGAGAGAAATGACATATTAATAGACTTTAGAGACTTCAACCAATTACATCATGTCAATCTTATTAGGTTTTTGAGGCAAATAAATTGAATTAAAAAATGAAGATATTTATGAGACAACAATAAATCTGAGCACCAGATATTTGCTGATATTAAGAAATATATTAACTATTTTAGGTTAAGAATCCATCTTTTTTAGAGATGAACACTGAAGTATTCATGGAATTTGCTTCAAAACAATATAAGAGGGGGATCAGCTTTCAACACTTCTCCATTAAGCATGATGCTTGCTCTGGCCTTTTCCATAGATATTTTCTATCAGGTTAATGATGTACCCTTCCATTTCTAATCAAGTTTTCATCATATATGGATGTTGAATTTTATCAACTGTTTTTTAGATATTTACTAAGATGACCTCATTTTTCCTTTAAACTGTTAATGTGATAAATCACATTATTAGATCTACCAAAGTTTTAACTATGGTTGGTTAAACCATACTATGTTGGTTTACCAACCATACATCACTGGAATAAACTCAACTTGGTTATGACAGACTAAGGTTTGGGATAGCTAAAACTGCAGTTACTAGATAGCTGGATTTGAATAGCTAAAACCTTAGTATTTTACAAACATCTTTTTGAGTTAGATGGGCCTGTACTTTTATCTTCTTTCCTTTCTGCATGATATACTCTCAAATGGCTGATGAGAAGACTGAACTTATATACACCTTAAATGTTTACTTACCAACTAAGCCTAGTGTTTTCTTGCTAAGAAAATCCTCAGCTCCTGATCCAATTTCTTTAATGGTCACCTGACTAGTCAGGTTTTCCATGTGAAGGCCAGCACTTTAACAATGGTCTACACGGCCATCCACCTACTCTCCTCTCTCCAGTCATCCTTAGCCCACCACTTCTTTGACCTTGTCTCCTACCATCTGCCCCTTGAGCACCTGCTTCCCAGCTCCTTACAGTTCGTTCACATGCTCCTGTCTCAGGGCCCCTGCAACTGCTGCTTTCTTGCCTGGAACACGACCCCACCCTACTACCACACAACCAGATCCCTTACTTCTCTCAGGTCTCCTCAAATGTCGTCCTTTCAGAGTCCGCCCCGATCACACTATACAAAATAGTATACACCATCCCCACTGTCACCATTTTAATTTTACTATCATTTCCTTTCTATACTTGGAACCACCAGATATTCAATACTAATTTGATTATTTATCTGTATTGTATTTGTATTCCTCTAACTTAGGAAAAGTAAAAAAATAAGTTTCATAACAAAAGGCACTTAGTCAACATGGTTCACTCATATAATTATTCCCAGTGCCTGGTACTCAGAAGACATGGGAAAAACACAAACAAACCCTTATTGTGTAAATTAGTGCTTAATGGTAGAATGTTAATAAAATTTAAATTTAATAAGTCAATGACATAATATGACTATAAAAGGAAATAAGATCCTTTTACTAATAATGAGAACTGACAAACTAGCTCTAACTTCACAATTTTAAGACATTGACAAATCAGAAAATTGTCTATGGGGTTAATGGAATCTGTCACTTTTCCTAAGGGATGGCAATGTGGTAAAATGAAAACACCATTACAGTTTATGTTTACATCCTGACCCTGAAACTAGTTCTATGACCTGAGCCAACAGTCTCTTTGTTTCCTTATTATATTAAACAGCAGAAGTGTCACGTATGTTCCAAGATCTCTGAGAAGATTAAGACATTAGCTAAGGTATCTAGTATGTGTGTAATCCCAAAGGAACACATGAAAGCAGTAAAGCAGTTTGTCCCAGGTCATAAAGGTGCTAAGAGGCAAAGACCTCTTACCCCAAATCCACGCTCTTCCCACTATCCTATACCAACGTGTAGTAGATTCTACTTCATACCAACATACTCAAAATGGGTAAAGTTAACTCGGATTTCAATGTCTAATAACTTAGGCGCCCCTGAGACCCTCCTCAGGGGGTCTGCAAGATCTCATATACACAGAGTTTTTCAGAAGCTATATGACAAGTGATACCAAAACAGACTGAATGCAGAAGCAGATATGTAACTCCAGCCATCTCCTATTAAGCTAGACATTAAAGACTACTGCAAAATGTAAAAAATACCATTTTCACTAAATTTTTTTCAGATACAATATTTTTCACAAAATGTTACTGCATTAATATGTAATGTGGGCTTCTTATTTCTATTTTTAAATAAAATAGTAATTATTATTACATTTTAAATTCAATTTCAAATACAATAAATATCGATAGATAAAATCCACATCAACAAAAGCTCTTTGGGTTCCAAGAGAGTGTAAGAGGTCTTGAGACCAAAAAGTTTGAGAGCTTATGATATATCCAATCCCTTATTAGACTTAATTCCATGAAAACGTCTAAAACTCAAAATAAAACTGAAAAATCTAAGAACACATTGATTAATTAACAAATTGTGTGGGATACTAATTAATTAAAAAACTTTGTGGGGAAGATTGGAAGGAAAAAAGAAAACAAAAAGGTGTTATACAAAAAACAAAGCTTTTGCATTTGGAAGAACTGGGTTCAAATCTTAGCTATATTGCTTTACTAAATATTTCCCTAAATATGTGTGTCACTGAACTTCAATCTGCTTGTCCATAAAAGCATGATTTTGGCAACTGCCCTACTGTCTCAGGTTATTAAGAGGATAAACCAAGATAATGAATGTGAAAGCTCTCCATCAACTATAAAAACGTTATGTAAACACAAACATGAAATCACAGCTATTGTTAAATATTACCTCTGTGGCAGACAGATGGACACTTATGGTTTCTACATCCTAAAGTCCGTCCACAGTTTTGATCACAAGGTGTACAGTTTCCAGGACAACACTGAAGAGAAAGCAACATATAAAGAACAGGCAATCTGAAAACCATGTGTAATATAAATGCCATTACTAGTTACCCATAGAACTTATGGGAAGCAAAAGATACTATACTTATTTTCAGTATAAGTATAAAAGTATTCAAGAGCATCAACATTCTCCTTTTAAGTAAATATGCTACATGAAGAATTTTTAAGTTTAAATAGACAATGTCCTAATTTAATAAAATCAAGCTAAATTTTCTTACATTTCAGTTAATTATTCTAGGACTTAAAACATTCCCATGAGATAATTTCATTTCTACTTATCTATGCAGAGATTGACAACATTAACCAAAGGAATAGAACTGGTCAAATCTTATATTCAGGCAAACAATTAGTCTGGTTATTTTAAAAATTTAATTAAAATAAAACCAGTTAAATGTATAAATCAGTTTAGCAGTTATTTTTAAACCATGGACTCAGCAACTAACTAAAGGAAGAAAGCAGAGATAAGCTATTTGCTTCTAACTTTACTTTGTAACATCCTTGATTTCTAATCTGTTTGTAAGAAATACAGCTGTCTAAGACCTGTCCCAATTTTCATTCATGAACAAAAGGCAACTACTAATAGTCTATTTTGCCATTCTAATTCCTTCCTCAACTTTTCACATTATCCAAATTTTGGAAAGAAAATAGAGACTATGATTGTTTTAAAGAAACTTAGGGTTGAAACCTACTTTAAGAACAAGTTTCAGTGTATAAAAATAACTCAAAACAAAATACATTTTACTGAAAAGCAACTAAAAATCGAAACAGTTCACTCAATTAGACAAATATTTACTGAGACAATGTGCCTATTGTTTTGCTAGTGGCAGCATGGGAAAAGAAGGTTGTGTGTGTGGTCCATGACTTAAATAAGCCTTTAGACACTTCTGTTTCTGGCCATGGTGGAATAAGCAATAGCCAGTTTACTCTCCTGCCTTAAACAACTATAACATCAGACAAAATACATGTATGAAGCGACTGTTCTCAGATATTTGAAAATGAGGCAGCACAGGACAGCAATTCCTAAGAAAAGAGAAACAAAGTGGGTCCTGTGGTAGCACCAGTTTAGACCTGGAGGTTTCTAGGCTGCAGCACAAGGGGAAAGATCACAGAGTGTGGTGGTCCCACCACAATGAGTAGACAAAATCCACATATCAGAGGCCAGTGTGGCTAGAATTTAGGTAAGTGGTGGCAATACAGAGAAAGCCCTGGAGAACTCCAAAACAGACGCCTTTAGTTTTGGGCCAAATACCTGTCTGTACCTGTGTGACTGGCAACTACCCAAAATATGAGAAAGAACCACCTGAAGAAGACAGAATAATTTCCAAAGATTATTCAAGTCAGAGAATAGCTTGTGTTCCCTGTGGTCAGAGTAGAAGAACCTCCTAATACATGGGAGTGGCACAGAGTACTTCGAATAATTACCGCCTCAGTAGCGGTGCCAACTTGGGCCTAGATAAAACAGAAGTCTGGTCAAACCCAAGACCAAATGGTTTCTAAATAACTTAACTTTAACCCAGAACAAATCTTAAAAATAGTTACAGGGATACAAAAAAATAAAAAACAAGCAAAACAACAACAAAAAAACAGCACCCAAAAGTATAAAGTTCACAATGTCTGAAAACCAATCAAAAATTACCCAGCAGGCAAATAAGCAGGAAGATATAACCCAAAAGGAGAAGAAAAATCAATCAACAGAAATAGACCCAGAATGACAAATAAATGATAAAAATTATTAGATAAGAACATTAAAATAGCCACTATAAATATAATCCCTATATTCATGAAGATAGAAGATACAAGCATGCTAAGGACATGGAAAATACAGAAAAGACCCAAACTTAACCCTCAGAAATAAAAAAATATCTGAGATGAATAAACGATGTGATAAGAAAAATGTATTGACAAAGCAGATGAAAATTAATGAACTTGAAGGCAAAACTATTATAAACTAAAACAAAGAAATTTTAAAAAACTAAATAAATGGAGCACCAGTGAGCTGTAAGACCTCAAACAGTATAACATACATATTGTAGCCTCAGAAGGCAATGGGTGGGGAAAAACATTTTAAACAAAAAACTGAAAATTTCACAAATTTGATGAAAATTATAAATCCACAGACCTAAGAAACAACAAAAATAGTAGGTACAAAACTATTTGTAGAGGGGGAGGTTAAGAATAGCATGGGAAATTGAGCAGCCAAAGAACTTATATGTGTGACCCATGGACATGAACTAAGGGGGGAAATGCTCGTGGGAGGGGTGGCACAGGGCAGAGGACAATAAAGGGGAGAAAAAAGTGGCACAACTGTAATAGCATAATCAATAAAATATATTTTTAAAAAAGAAACATGAAGAAAGCAACAACAGGAAGCACCCAAATTGCTAAAAACTAATAATAAAGAGAAATTTTTTTTTAAACAGCAAAAGGAAAAAAAGATAGATTACAAACAGAGGAACAAAGATACAGCACACTTTTTTTTTTTTTAGAAAATATTGCAAGCTAAAATAGTGGAGCAACACCTTTTAAACATAGGAAAAACTGTCAAATTAGAATTCTAAGTAAAATACTTTCACAAACTAAAGGTATTTTCCAAAAGTTGAAAGAATTAATGAACAATACTACAAGAAATGTTAAAGGAAATCCTTCAGATAGAAAGAAAATGAACCAGATAGAAACCTAAGTTAATATTTAAAAAAACTAAAAAACACCAAAAGTAATGACAATAAATATACAAAACTACGTTTTGTAATTTTTTTTCCAATCTCTTTAAAAGATACCTGATTATTTAGAGCAAAAATACATTGCATTTAGGGTTTACAAAATACATGGGTATAAGATATATGACAAATCAAATAAAGGAATTAAAATAGAATAATTGAAAAACACTCAAATAGAAATTAACAACAGAGGGAAAAGAAATAAAGGATGGGCAAATAAAAAATAAATAGCAAAATGATAAACTTAAATCCAACCATATTAAAGATCACATTAAATGTAAATGATCTATACCTGAATTAAATGACAAAAATCATTCTGCTAGGATAAAATATCTAAATGCTGTATAAAAGAAAACCGCTTGAAACATAAAGTATTAATAAGTTAAAAGTAAAAGAATGAAAAAGATATACCATGTTAACACTAAGCAAAAGAAAGCTGAAACCACTGTATTTCAACAGATTTAAGAACAAGGAATCTTTTAGAGATTAAGGGATAATTCATAAAGATAAAGAAGATCCCCCAAAACTGCAAATTTACAAGCTAGGTAAAATACTCCAGTTGACCATCTACTGAACCAAATGTCTATAAATAAGATTTGAACAATAAAAGTTAAGCCTCTTCTAGCAAATGGACTATCACTCTTAACAGTGCTATGATGTTCTACAGTCAGGGAACAAAAATAGTTTAAGAACCAAACAGAATTAACCACATGATAAAAAAAACAAACAAACAAAAACTTTGTCATTTAAGAAGCTTGGTAAGACTTCCCACTAATACAAACAATTAGGATTAATCAAGAATATTAATTAGCCCTGGTTGGTGTGGTTCAATGAATTGAGTACTGGCCTGCAAACCAAAGGGCTGCCGGTACGAGCCTAGTCAGGGCACAGGCCTGGGTTGCGGGTCAGGTCCCCAGTTGGGAATCTGGGGACCAATGTGTGAGAGGCAACCACACATTGATGTTTCTCTCCCTCTCTTCTTTCCTCCTTTCCCTCTAAATAAATATAATCTTTAAAAAATATATTAATTAATACTTCATATAGGAAGCATAGAATATGCCTAGACATTTGAGGAACATGTCAAGATGGTGTTTATCAGCCCTGGCTGGCATAGCTCAATGGATTGAGCGCAGGCAGCAAACCAAAGTGTTGCAGGTTTGATTCCCAGTCAGGGTACATGCCTGGGTTGCAGGCCATGACCCCCAGCAACCACACATTGATGTTTCTCTTTCTCTCTACCTCCTTTCCTTCCCTCTCTAAAAATAAATAATACATATAAAAAAAAAGATGGTGTTTATCACAGCCTCACAAAGGAAAAATTCAAGAGAATTTTTAAAGCAGTAACCTAAGCTTGTTGCACATACCTTTCTTCTACACTGATGCTTCTGACAGTCACGCATCTTAACACACTTAGTTTCACAGAGATAAGTTTTATGGCACGGCATTCGTTTTGTATGTTTTCCACAGCGACAATGCTTTTCTACTTCCTGGAAGAAGCAAATAAATACTATTAAAACTAACTTTGTTAATGTAATTTTTTTCACCCTGTAATTTTTATAATTCCTAAAAAGTGAAGGAGAAAAGTTTTAAGCACAAATTTATATGAAAGCCTCCACCAAAACTAAAGATGAATTTTCTAAGATATTTTTTGGTATCTTTTTTTCTAAGAGACTTCATATGAATTTCCATTATTAAATTTAGTAGGAATTTAATACTAAACAGTACAACAATACTACACCTTAAAGTCACTTACATGTAGTTACACCATGATGTCTGCACATCTTGTCTCAGTAAAGCAAGAAAACTGGATTATCTTATAATAAGCAACTTGTTGACTTAAAGTGACACATATATAACCTAAAAGTCTCAAGTCTAGGCATTAGTTTCTTTCCATCATCAGTAAGACTAATTCATCATTGCTTTGAATGTCTGCTTGGAACAAACAACCCCACTGTGGACTATAAAAATGAGAATGTTGAAACGTTTACCAAGCAAAAAGAAACAAAAGGTGATTTTTGGATATGATTGCTGGCATACTGTCCTGTTTCTTCTCCATACACATTAGGTCACTAAACTCACTCAGATCATGACACAGATGTTTATAAAACTAACTACTAGAAAACAATTACAGGACACTGCCATTTGACATACTGTAAAAGAGAGCTCATAGAAGTAATTAGTAATTACTACGGAAGATGACTAACTTGTCTACATATTTCACAAGGACCTCGATGACAACGCTGTGAACATCTATGGATTCCACATTCAAGTAACTTGTCACAACTGTCTCCACAAGTTGGTACATCTTCTGTACAAGGCAAAGAAAACTCTAAAAGCAGACAAAAAGTCAATGTTAATAGTAAGCTACATTGCTATAAAGCACTAACAACGTACCATGCTCTTTTGGCTCCCTAAAGGATGACAGCCCTTTCGAACTATGAATTTTTTGCATCTATATAACTATTGGAAAAAATTAACTTTAATGAAAATAACCTCTAATATTTGTAAATTCAATGTAAAGTTAAAAAGATTTTGACACATGACAAGTTACCATCCTAAAGAAACATATTTCTATAAGCTAAGTACTTCAGAAATAGTTATCTGAAGAAGTAAGTAATATCATATAATAACCTCTATGAAGAATCCCACAATATAGTATTATAAAAACAATTTGCTCTTAATAACCTCACAGGATAAAAAAAGTAGTAGATTTTAAAACATAAGAATCCTCACCTTCCACATAAACACATTAGGACAAGACTGGCAACAATCTTGTCAATGTGTGCTGGTACTGGTGCAAGTCAAGAGAAGCAGACTCAGACCGCAACCTTTCTATGTCTGTCTATCTCCAAGCAACCAAAACTAAATTCATTTGTAACCCAATACACAATAAGGACAATAGCTTGGAATTAATAGGTTTCCTTTATGTGCTGGGCACTACATAAATGCCTTATGAGCATTTTATCATCCAATTCTCACCATCATCTTATGAAGAAGGTACTCTTACTGTCTCCATTTAACTTGAGAACACCAGAGTTTATGAAGGTGGGATTTGAACCCAGATATGCCTGACTCTGAAGTCTGAGTTCTCTTTTTTTTTTTTTTAAGATTTTATTTACTTATTTTTAGAGAGGGAAGGGAGGGAGATAGAGAGAGAGAGAAACATCAATGTGCAGTTGCTGGGGGTTATGGCCTGCAACCCAGGCATGTACCCTGGCTGGGAATCGAACCTGGGACACTTTGGTTCCCAGCCCGCGCTCAATCCACAGAGCTACGCCATCCAGGGCTTGAAGTCTGAGTTCTTAATCCACATGCTATATTATCTACTTGTCCAAATGTACAAAAGTCTAACATACAATTTGAAACTACATTATGAATTTGCAGAGAAATCTAATTAGGAAAGTAGTTAGCATAAAGAATAATCATATCCCATTAAAGATTTGAAAACAGTCTTACTTGACTTCTGACATGGACAGAATCTTTTCCCAGATCGAGGACATTCTCCACAAGCACCAGCATGACAAACTTGCTCACATGTATGATTACCACATGGCAGTGTTTTCCCACATACCTAAAATAATACGTAATAAGCACTAGTGAAGGACTTAAAAGTTATCAAAAAAGACTTTGTACTAACATAATCCATTTTTTATTTGTATATAATCCATTTTTCAATTATGAATAAGCAATTTATATTCCTCATAATTTGTTCTTTCTCTATAAACACACACACACACACACACACACACACACACACACACACACATTCCTATGCACCAAAGAGTATATTTGTAAAATATAATACAGGAAAAAAGTACATACAGCTTCATATGGCCATCCACCAAAGATTTCCAAGTGGTACACCAATTCTAGGACTAACAATCTACAACATCAATCCTCCTTCCCCGTTGGATTAACTCAAGTGGGATGGGATACTGATTAAAGACAGGGGAAAGGGAGGGAGAGCTAGCAAGAAAGTACATGTGTACTGAGTACAAAATTCAACAAACAGCTGTTGCATTGAAAAAAAAATTTCCCTCCAGTAACTGAAATACTAAACTGGAAAAGTTTCCTCAAATGAATGTAATTTGAGTTACTATTCCTCCTCTCCTTTTATCCAACTAAATGTAACTAGCTAAATCCTAATTAGCATTTCTGATTGTTTTCCGTATTCTTTAATGCCCATCCCCTCAAAACACACATACACTTACTTGATCACAGTGCCACAGCGGACTTGCACAGCTTCTTTCAGCTACTCGTTTGCCACAGACACACTTCTGTCTACTAACTCTCGGACAGGGCGGACAACTTCCTAAAACCACAGTGATGAATTAGCACAGGCACATTATAAAAGCAATACTGACTGCTTTGACTTTGGCTAACAAGTATGACCTTTCACCTGCATGACAAGGATTTTCACATTTATGTTGTCCACAAAGTAACTTCCGCCCACATGGCAGCTGACAGGACCATTCCTTGGCACTGCACCTACGAGGGATGGGCTTGGCTTTCTTACAGTGACAAGTAGTTGTGACCATCTTTGGACAAGGAGGGCAGGGCCCTAGAATCCAACAAAAGGGGGAAAAAATCAGAAGTCAAAGATAATTTTCAATTCCTATACCTATCAGTGATTTCCAAAGCTTTCCTTGCTGACAGTTTAAAAGGCATTTCCTTTTGATATTTTTTTATGTAAACTTAGGTTCTGAATTCAACTTTCACAATTTTTTTTGCCTCAACCTAAGAACAAATAACCACCCACGAACAATTACAAATGTAATATATAACTCACCTGGATGACAGAGGAGTAAACATTTATGGCCACAAGGAGGTTTAAATTCTCTCTCACATACTTGGCCACATGAATGAGGCACAAGCCACGGATCTAAAGGTGGATCTTCTACCTTTCCACAATAGCAATAGTACCTACTAGGTGTGTCCGATCGTTTGTATTCAAACCTACATTTTGGACTACAAAGAAGAATTACTCAAGTTAATTTCATTTTTAAGTGACACAAGAGACAGAAACATAAATATACTTTGAAAGATATTACACTCAATTAGTTTTATGTAAGGCACTCTCTGTTCCATTTTTATATTAGTGAAAAACAAGATTTTCCTAAAATAAATTGCAACTGCCTAGAACAACTGTGTCCAATATAATTTCCAGAGATGATGGAAATGTTCTGTATCTGCCACGTCCGATATAGTTCTTAACCACACATGGCTCGTGAGCACTTGAAATGTGGCTAATGCATACAACTGAGAAAGAAACAGAGCTTTTATAATATTTGAAAATGTAAATAACCACAGGGGGCTGGTTGCTACTGCAGTAAATAGCACATATCAAGAGTACAGCTATGTCCTGGCTTTACCATGTAAGTAAAAGAAGTCTGAATGTACCATTTATTTCAACTAACTTTCATATCCCCTTTGGTAACATGGGAATAAAATCTCTCACAAATGACAAAGAATTATTTTCACAAAGTTATAGTACCTCTAAAATGTTTTTTAAAACTGTATTACCACAATTTTATAAATACAGAGTGAGGAAAAAGTAGGTTTACAATTGTGAGTCTGTGAAACAGAGTTTATTCTTGTATTATTTATTAATTATTGTATTATTTTCCATATGAACAACTGTAAATCTACTTTTGCCCCACCCTGCATATCAGTACTTATGGTAACAAGGGGAGGTCTGATGTAGATCCAGGTTTTCTGAAGCGTGAATCTTATACAACTTGGGGGCATCTGATAAGAAAAAGGACTCAAAATTACAAAGAAAAAAGTTACAAAAGTGAGTATTTATGTGACCACACAGAGCTCCTGAAGTTTATGCTTCATTATCTTCAAAGTAAATCTACCATTTTTGTTGCCAATACAGATAAATTTTTGTCTTTACTTAGCAGAAATATAAAATTTCTTTTCCCTCACTTTTTTTGGAAATATAACTGAAGTTCAAGATTAAATCATGAATCACAAGCCACCCAATAAAACAAATGTAGAAAAATTAATATTATTAATATACACCTACAGTTTTGAAAGATTTTTGAGGACAAAATTGGGAAGCCTATGATCAAAATATGTCCGATGATGGTCTTATACAATATGGTATTAATGTAGAACTCCAGAAGAGATGCACCAGAATTACGAAGAATTCTAATCACATATAAAAGAAATGAAAGTTGTTTAAAAAGGGTAACAACGGAGTTGTTTTGCAAGGAAAAAAGAGTCTGAATAGTTATTAGTTTTTGAAAGGAACTAGTAGTTATACAAATTGGGAAATGAATGCCATTCCTAAGTCCCATATCTTCACAAATCCAGTGACTAATTGAAAGCCATACATGGATACTAAAACTGCCAATAAAGCAACTTATGAGATACAATTTTCATTTATTTTATAATTTGATATTCCAACTAAATTAGAAAAATTACCAAGGCCAGGGATAATCTCTCTTTTCAAAATCATCATCCGTCAAAGAAGATACCAGAAATTGGCTGTCTTTAGCCCACTTCTGAATACAGGGCATGTGAAATATACAGAAACATCCTGAACAACTCCAAACCTAAGACAAAAGTATCGGATATTAACATGTATGCGATGATTTTCCCTTGATAATTACATAATACTTTAAGCACCACAGTAAATTATTTTCAAGAGCAAACTAAGGATTAAAGAACAATAACTTTTCCTTACAGTAAGAAAAATATTATTAGCCATCCAGATTCATTCAACTAGAAATAACTACCCCTAAATTTCTGGTCTCTTTTTTTAGTGTATCTCATTTTCTTTTTTAAATGAGGTCATGCTGTACTGACTGCTATGTAATTTCATAGCCTTTTCTTTTAGCATAGTACAAGCATTCACCCTTGTCGAACATATTCATAAAACATATTTATTATAGCTGTATAATATTTCATGTAGATTTACAGACTATAATTTATTTAACCCATTTCTAGTTATTAGACATTTAGGTTATTTCCAATTATAAATGACACTTCAAAGAATCCTTAAACTACATATAATCTCTATTACTGCTTTTTGTGTTATATTAAAACTATTAATCTAGCTCTTATGCTAAATTCTAAAAATCAGATGCGCAAAAAAACTTGAGAACATGTAATTTAAAAGCTTAAGAAATAATAGTAATTTTTAAAACCTATGAATACTTTTATGTAATTGACAAAAATCAGTTTTTTCATCATAGCATTTCTCAACTGTTTAATAAAATCAGACATGTCGTATATTGCATAAGCAGACAACAGCATTTAAAAAGAAAGGCCAACTTTTTAGCTGAGTTCCTCCCCAATCAGTGACTGAAAAAAGACATGAAATACAGGAGTGAGAAGACACAATGTGGAAGAGGAAATGCCAATAAATGGTACACTGTCCAGATGATTACTGCTAAGAGCCAAAGTTCTGTCCTGCTAGGGATCCTCTAAAGAACCATTTAAAACATACCTAGGGCTACCCCAGCCCAAACCCCTCACAAAGGGGAAGCTGGGCACTCATCCACCAATTACCTGTGGTGGAATGCTACCCCAAGGGACATTAACTCCCCTCTACTTCTGCACTACACCCCTGTACTGGCTGAGTCAGTTCCCAAGGAGGAGCCTGATATTACAAACACACACACACACACACACACACACACACACACACAGAGCAACTGTTTGAGGTAGGACTATATCCCCACATGGAGAGACTTACAGCTGAAATCAGAAAAAAACAATCATATGTGACTCTGGGCACCAAAGGTATATGCTACACTATCCTATCCTGTGTATATTAAATTCCTGATTCACTCTATGTGAGCAACCCATTTCATTTGGCCCAATTTTCTTCCTCTAGGCAACACAGCTATAACAGCAGTGGATTAATCTGAGGTCTGAATGTTGCATCTATCACATCCAGTCATCACTTCCTCTTAATTGCTCCATTAATGTCCTTTTAAATTTACATATAAATAACTTTGCCATCAGGCCAACGCAACTCTAAATTTGTAAGTTATGACTGAATCCATCGCTCCTCAATGACTCTAGTCACTTTCCACAGTTCCTTCAACACAAGAAAAGCTGCCTAATAAGCCGTGGTCACTGCTAGGTTCTATTTCCTTGAAGGCAGGGACCATGCCTATCTTTTCAACCTGCTGAAAGTAGTGAAATATAGTCCATTTTAACATTTCAGTATTTGTGGAAATCTCTAATGTACAAAGGTGTTAAAAATGCTTTATCAAATTGACATGAACATTAAAACTGAAGATACTTGCTTCGGTTACATTAATAGTGCTAAAAATAATGGATGCTTACTAGAGGTAGTTATTTAAATTACAGATTTACAAAATAAAGACCAATTAAAATTCTCCAATGAAGCATTTAAAAAAATAAGCAAAAGCACAATAAATGGTTAATATTATAAATACAACATAAGATATTTTGGGCAGATACATTAATACAGATAAGGAGAAACACTTACTGCCTGGTTTCTCTTCACTGAAGCAATACAAATTAAGCATGTCATAGCCCCTGCTTGAAAAGCTTCATGTACATACTGCTTTGTTCGCTCTAATTCACGTGTATCTCCATCTAGAAAGTTAAAAGTTGAAAACTTCATATTAAGCAACATCTGAAAATAATACTAACTCACTAAAAGAAGTACAATATGTGAGAACTGTGTAGCAGTATCAATTGCTCAAAATATAGATTAAAATTAGAAGTTTAAGAAAAGTACCCAGCGAGCTGCCAAGAGGTCACAAAGTCCAAGATTTAAACCTTACATATCTGATTAAAAACTCTCTCGGAGTATACTTGCTTTCATTGCTGTTACAGTGCTTCACAAATTTGGTGGAGGCAGAGTCACAGGCAAGAGCAGCAAGAACCAAGTAACAAGGGAAAGCGTGTGAAAAGGCAAAGTGAAAGAGCCCCAATGTCAAAAGTCAACAGAGCCATTCAGCCTAAATATAAGCACACCTGTGTGTTTGACACACAGAATATTCTAATAAAAACTTGTTGAATAAAAAGATCCTGAGGTCATTACAGTATAATAACTATTTCTGCTTAAAAAAGAAACATGAACTTCTTAAGAAAAAAATTAAACTATATTTTCTTGAGCAATTATTGCACATTTATTTTCTAGGCACTATACTATTAGGGTTTCAGCAGGATTAAATGTGTTAAATTTTTATCTTCATTCTATACATGATAAAATTAAAGCACTTCAGTTTGACTCTTAACAATTATAAGCTGCAGCAAGGGGTCACAATAGAAAAGTCCAAAATAACGAGTAAAAACAAAATGAAAGGCAGAAAAACTACCCAAAGAGCACACGACACCAAAACTGCAGTAATCCGAGTCACGTCAGTGTAAAAGAAATAAACCTTCATACCTTTAACACACTGCAGATTGTTCAACAGAGGCTGACTGAGCAACAGTATAAACTATCACTGGTACAGTGCTTATGGCAATAAAATGGTTCAAATCAAAATTTAAGTTAACCAAAAAGAAAAATTAATAGGATGCTTAAATATTTACTTTCTAAAATCATCTAAAGAAACACAGCACTTATAAAAACTTGCTCTGCCATGATATAATTTAAGATAGTAAATAAAATATACATAAAATCACTCCCAAAACTATAAATTATAAAATTATTAAAAACAACTGTTTTATTTATTTTTAGAGAGATATTAAGGGAGGGAGAAAGGGAGGGAGAGAAACATCAGTGTGTGAGCCATATATCAGTTGCCCTCAGTTGCCTCTCCCACGACCCCAGCTGGGGCCTGACCTGGCCTGCAACACAGGCACGTGCCCTGACTGGGAATCAAACCAGCGACCTTTCAGTTCACAGGCCAGCACTCAATCCACTAAGCCAGGGCTAATTGTTTTACTTTAAATAAACATTAAAGTTTAAAGAGTATCCTTAAAAGCAGACTTCATAATCACATTCTGTGTGTTTAGTTTGCTTTTCCGCATAGCTGGCTTTAACAAATATATAACATTTTAAATTTCATCTAATTTACAGTTAACACATAACGGAAAATGAGAACAAGATAAAATAGGCCTCAACAAAATAAAGTCTAACCTTACATTTATAAGATTTATATAAGATTTCTTTTAAAATTGTGTTAAAGTTTGGCCTCAGCAATAGAGTATACTGCCCAAAATGTTATGGTGGATCACATGGCATTTGAAGTCATGCATTTTGGAAAGCTCACCCTGGCAACTAAAGAAAAATGAGTATGAGGAGGCCAAGACTAGAAGCAGAAAGTACCAGTTAAGAGGCCAGTAGAGCAGGTAAACCAAAAAATGACCTTAAGCAAATTATCTATGTATCTATCTCATTTTTCTCATCTTTAAAATAGTATAATAGTAATAGTAGTATCTACCTCATAGCTATTACGTGAATTTAATGCACACATTAAATAGTCATAGGGGCCTGAATTAAGGCAATGTTAGTATATAGGGAGAAGAGGGAGGGATTGAAGAAATTTAGGAAGTAAAACTCAGCTGGACTTGGTAACATTTAGATTACATTGCTCTTAAATGTCAGTGTTCACGTCAACAGAAAGAAGGAAAGAATGCTGTGTCTGATGCGGGCAGAGGAGAGCAGTGGTAGTGAATGAAACTCACTCATATCGTCTGTGTGCCATCCCTGCGCCCAGATTTCTGGTGTGGGTGTGTGCCTGGGAAAACTGTGCTACTTACTGACTGAGATCAAGAAAGCAAGAGAAATAAGTTATCTTTGAACACGTTTGATGTGTCTGTGGGCCAGCAAGGTAGAGATACCTGTTAGGAAGTTGACCCTGCTAAGTCTGAAATTTGAGAGGAGAATCACAAAAGTTCAAAGGCTGTGCTCAGAGAAAAAGGATGACCTTCTCTGATAAAGTTCTGGACTCCAAATATGGCTTTAAGAGTAACCTGGATATCAACAACACATAATGTAATTGTAAAGGTCAAACCTCAGTATGTAGCTTCAAAAAAAAAGTATGAACTTCAAAAGTTGTAAGATATAAAATGAAGTCAAGAAATGAAATGTACTTTACAATGCAAAAGAGAAAAAAATAAACAGATTTAAGAGTATTCAAAGTCTTTAAGAGCAATCAAATCATAACCAGGAACAATTTGAACCCACTCACCTCACAGGGGGCTTTGGTGCCCCCTCCCAGCATTCTAATGAAACACCAACCAAACACACTGGTTGGTAGGACAGCTTCGAAGGCTGTAAAGGACATTGCCACTCCATTTGCTTTACAGAAAGATTAATGTCAATGACATATAACCCAAATAGTTAAATGTACAAAAATTCAACTCTAAAACACAAAAATGCTCATTCTTAAGATGCACCAACTATTCCATATAGAGTAAAAGTGTTTTTAAAGAAGCAGGAATATATTTTCATTAATATCAAAAAAGTCTAAATTTAAAAGATACCGTACCTGTCTGAGTAGTATATGTTATAAATGTATTAGCAACTATTTTTCCCTGTTTTCCTTCCAAATCTTCATCTCCTTCTTCTTCAGAGGAGGAGCTAAAGTGCTCTTCAACAAGTTTCTTTGCCACAGCTTGATTAGCCTTCTTGATTTCCTCAAATTTCCTTTGAGACATTAGCTCTGCTTACAGGGAGAAAAAGATTATTTTCATTTCCACAAAACAATCTCTCAAAATGCAAGTCATAATGTACTAATGCAATCATTTTAATCCAGATTTAAAAGTCATCTTTGGAGCATTCTATTTTACGATCATCCATGAAAAACAGTATGTTCGAATTTCTTGATATACAACAAACGGGAATGCCACAGTGAAAACTTACACTTTTGTAAAATACCCTGCTAAATGCAGAGTTGTTCTAGGAACACTGACGAATAAATCAATTTAAAATATTACAAAGGTATGATAAAAACATCCAAAAAAACCCTGGTGATCAACCTTAAAATGAGGACATTAACAAAAATTAAAATGGGATGTTTAAAAGTAAATTTGTCCACAGTGATTTCTAAGAGGAGGGAAACATGCCCATGGGAGCACATCCAAGCAAGCCAGAGGCAGGTGCTTTTTAAAACCACCTCTTCCACACCACAGCCCAGCCTGGCCGGGCCCACCGAAGACTGAACAGACATTATTTAATGTATAGCCTCTTAGAAAGCTCAAGGGCTTTTTGCCCTTATTAAAATATAGACACACAACATAAATATTTAATATTAACGACACACAAATTGTTGCTAACACAGAAAATATGCTTCTTACAACTTCCTTCCAAAGAGAAATGCTAAATTTTGGATAATTCTTCCACTCTTCTCTTTAGCACTGTCTGTACTTCTTATTCCACTACTTGGTTAAATAATAATTCAAAAAGAATTAGATTACTTCATTGCACATTCTCAGTGAAGCTGCAAACTCCTCAAGAGCAAGGACCATGGGAATTTTCTTCAAGTACTAAGTGTTAATAAGCTCTTTGGGACAACAACCATAGTTTAAGAAAGGAGACACAAACATCCTGAATCAATCTGAATTCATCAGGGCCCATATTGAGAGGATTTTATATTTGCTAATTTGAAAATTTTAATTACTAGTTTAAAATTCACTTTATGACTGAAACTACTACTACTAAGATTAGCTTTCTTATTTTAGATGGTGTTTTATCTTTTCTTTCCTTCACAAAATGTTTTCCCTTTCTTGTTGCAGCCAGTTTGGTTGGGGGTTGGCCAGTATTTCAAGTAAAACTGGAGGAAAATGTACAGTGCCTACCTAGGAATCTTTTAGTATCAGGAGAAAAGTAATATCTATAAGCTGTGTGCCTCAAAACTTGATGTACACTAAGAGGGGTGTTAAATGTCATTGAAAATGGGAAATTAGCAGTTAAGGATACATTTTTTAAAAGTCTGAGTTACAACACATAATAAAAACTTTCATATCCTGATCAACATGTCCACATAAGAGCATCTCAAGAAAAGGTGACAAAGCAACCTCCAATCTCAATTATCCAGGTTGAGAATGCTCGCTTTCTACCCACAAAATCCAGGGAAGTTTACCAAAACTGTTCACAGGTTTCCAACTTACAAACCTCACCACCACCATAGAAACTCAGTAACTGCAAGCTAACAGAACATCACCTAACTAAAATTAGCCTAGGAGAAAAAAGCACTAGGAAGCTCAATTTGCTTCTGCCCCAAAAAATACATTCTGAAAAATGCATCCCAGCGGGCTGGGAACCAAAGTGTCCCAGGTTCGATTCCCAGCCAGGGTACATTCCTGGGTTGCAGGCCAGAACCTCCAGCAACCGCACATTGATGTCTCTCTCCCTCTCTCTCTCTCTCTCTCTCTCTCTCTCTCTCCCCCCTCCCCCTCCTCTCTCCCTCTCTCCCCTCCCTCTCCCTCTCCCTCTCCCTCCCTCCCTCCCTTCCCTCTCTAAAAAATAAATAAATAAAATCTTAAAAAAAAAAAATGCATCCCAACACACACACGCCGGCGCGCAGAACTCATTTCAGGGGCTACTCTGGTGGCCCCGTGCACTCCTCCACTGGTAAAGGCAATTTCGTGTTTGTTGCGTGCATGCTCTCAGGCTCTGCTAAAACACAGCCGCGAATTAAGGACACTGACATGCCGGAAAAGGCCACACCAGCTACATCCAGTAAAAGATGTGAAATTTGTGAATAGGAACCAAGAAAGTACCACAAGCTAAAGAGTTTACAGGGCATAGACACTCAGGTAAAGATAGGAAATGACGACTGGTCCCCAGAAGTAGGAAAGACAACGTGAATGTAGTGCCAAAGCCCAATGTAAATGGGATTTCTACGACTCAGTCCTACTGACTGTTACCATTAAGTCTTGAGAGTATTTTACAAAAAAAAAAAAAGATGTTAAACAGGTTTTTATGAGACTTTAAAAAGAAAAAAAGGGGGGGACCAATTCAGATTTAAAGCCTGTGTTAACCAAACCAAACTACAGTATAGGCTAGACCTCCCGACCACAATTTGCAACTTTGGGTCCAGAGTCAGTAGGCAAAAAGAGCGAAGGGAAGAGTACTGGGCAGAGAATTAGCAAAGATTAACATCAATTAAAATGAAAATAAAAGATATTTAAATTAAGATTTGACTCTGCCTAGAATAACGAAGACAGTAGCTGCCTGAAAGGCTTGAGAGGTGCGGCCAATGATGAACCCCCCCCAAGGAGAAGAAAGGTAGAGGGTGGGAGCAGGGGCACAGGCGGCTCGAACTGGGCAGAGCCTCAGCAGGCGTCCAGGTGAGACGGAGGGCGGGAGCCATTCTCACCACTGGCTACGGAAGTCTGCAGTGCTCCGGGTCCTGCGGGGCTGCGCCGGGCTGAGCTACCTGCCGCCGCCGCAGCGGTCGTGGCGCCTCCGGGACTGGGGCCGGGGGCAGCGGCGCCCGGCGACCCCTTCTCTCGCCCTCCTCCGGCTCCGCGGAGATGGAATCCATTTCCTGAGGAGGGGGCCGCACTGGCCCGTCCTCGGGCTCGGCCTCGGCCACCGGCCACCTGGCGCCAGGAAGCTTCCATCCCTGAAAGGAAAAAAGAGAGGGAGTGGAAGAAGCTAGATTGCAGCGGTGCGAGGCGGGGAGACGCGGGGCGGTCCCAGAAGCCGGTGGGAGGGGCCGACTGAAGAGGGTCGCCTCGAGGCGGGGACCGGGTTCGAAAAGGTCGCGGCCCTGTCTCTCCCGGAGAGCGAGTGCCCGCTAACCCCGGGCTTTGGAGATGGACCGTAGAGGGAGAAAACTAGGCAGAGATATTGCCTGTGGGGTAAGGAGCACACAGAGCCCGAGAGGACAAGGAGGAGAAGGAAAGCAGCTTCTCACCCGTATGGGGAGTGCCCTGAGGCGAGAGCAGCGGACTGACCCGGTGACTCCGGCGGGGATCCAAGCGCAGTAGTGGACCCCAGGGAAGGCTACGTCTCCTTACAGACGGTGCTCGCCCCCAACGACTACAACTCCCAGAAGCCCACGCCTGCTGCCAGCAGAACGCGTGGCATCACTGGCCACTTCCTCATCCGGGTGTGTCCCGAGAGAAGCGGGGTTGGGGGGAAGTGTGGGAAGGAGTTCCGAACGCAGCGCAGACTGAGCTGGGCCTTCGAAAACTACAATTCCCGGCGTGCTCTGCGCCTCCGGCGGGGTTGCGGTCTTAACTGAGAGCAAGGTGGGGAGGAGGTTCACCTCTGAGAGGTTCTTCTTGCCAGGTGTTGCTGCTGCATCTGCGCAGCTGCCTAAACCCAGCGGAGTAACCCGGTTCTGTCCGAGTGTGTATTAGGGACTGCCCACCGTCTTTAGCCTTGCCTTTGGGCTTTTAGCTGGGGGAAAACTTTTCTCTTGAATGGGAGACAGCACTTAACATGAACACAAGTGGTGTCAGGGAAGAGGAGGGATGAGGGTGTTGTGGAAAAGTGGCTGGAGTGGAAACAGATACTCTTCTGAACTGTTAATGCCCTGTAGAAGTTAAATCTAAGGCCTATAATATTCCTTTATAATTGACCATGTTTTTTCTTGAGCTGGCCACTTTTTACTTTCATGGCAGCTCTCTAAAGTAGGTTTTATTAAGGAAAGTAGTTCAGAATCTGGACCTAAATCTTTTAACTTCTCTGAGTTTCCCAATAGATAGATAAATTTCAAAATTTGGGGAGTTCTCTCTGGGGCTGAGAAATATATTGATTGCTTGGGACTACACAATTCTTACACAACCCTTTAACTTAATTCTTCTACATTAATATCTAATATTTAGAGAGCATTTATTAAATGCCAGTCACTAAAATGTGTTTTGCACACACACATCATCTATAGTCTGTTGAGAAGGTATCCAGCCATGTAATATGAAAAATAGAGACATTTAATGACGAAGATACAAGATACAAGAAACATTGTACATAGGACAATGACTCCTCAGTCCCCTTCAAAGTAGGCATCTTGGGACCTCACACAGTTCTCCTAGTTACCACCATCAGCTGGCCCTGAATCTCACAGATGGTCTGAAATCTCTTCCCTTTCAAAGGCAATTTTAATTTTGGGAAAAGCCCAAAATTGCAGGGCACCAAATCTGGGCTATAGAGGTGCTGAGTCACCTGAATGATTTGATGTTTTGCAAAAAAAAAACCTCTGCACAAGATGTGATACATGAGAAGGCATGTTGTCCTGATGAAGCTGCCAGTCACCAGTTGCCCATAGCAGCAGCCTTTTGAATCATGCAAATAGTTTGTGCAGAGGAATGTTCAAGCTTAATGCAAAGTGTGATGCAGATTCGTTGCTCTACTCAGTCATTTTGAATGTGACGGCCACACAGTACACATGCTCACTCAGTGGTATCTACCGCCCACACTGACTAGTACAGAGAAGTCATCATTGTTCACACATGTACATTCCAGGCCACTCTCCTTGGCTGCCAGGTTAACAGTGGCCAGACTTTTTCTGGAGATACACACACACACATACACACACACACACACACACACGTTACTTAATCTCTTTGTGTCTCAGTGTTCTCAGCTGTAAAATGAGAGAAATTTTGTTTACATATGTAAAAACTAAAAAATACACATTTATGATTTGTGTGATTTACTATATATGATACACCCCAATGTTTTTTAAAGAATTCTAAAATAAACTATTGAAAAAATAATATATCTGAATACTTTTATTGTGCAGCTATTTGAAAAATGTGATTTAATTGTATTTATTTGTCCATTATTGACATGTTCTGATATGGATTCTTTTTGCCAGTATATCTAAACATGCTCCCCAAATACATTTATCCTTGACAAACACATCTAATTATGCCAGTTATTAGTTTATTTTGTTTCAGCTCCAATTCACCCTCCAATATATGCTTTGATAATGGAAAGAACTCTAAGCACCTCCACAGAGCGAACCATGTCCGTTTTCTCAGCAGAGGGCACTGGAGAGACATTTCAGGAGGGAAGGTGCTCACCTGGTATTTCCTGCTGTGACAGTGTTTGGCAACCTTGCCTTTTCTTGGCCTCACCTTAACCTTCCAGCAGCCTTCTCATGGAAACCGACCCAAGGGCCTCATGTGCACACTGGCACCGAGTCACCTCTCACTTTGCAACTGACACCTGCATTCTCATCCTCTACACCTGCTACCCCTCCCACTCTAGACCGGGCACCACACCTGTGCCTAGGCTCCCATTCTCTGCCAGCCTATCCCATAGGCTCCTGATCACCTGAACTTAAGAGGGACTGCGGAAAAATGGTAACCAGAATATATCAGCAAGCCTGTCTGCTACCCAGTGGGCTGAACTACACCTTCTCCAAACCCCTCCAAGTTTGTCCTTCCTTGTGTATTCTCCCAACAATACCGTATACAGTGTCCTTATAGTCATTCTTTTATCAGAGCTTAGTGATTCTTTATCTTAAACTTAGCCCACTATGTGGTTTCCATTCCTGATTAGATCCAGACTGATACAGGCAGTGTATACATTTTATATGTTTTACTTGAAATACTGGATATGGATATGACCAATGAAAGTGGATGCAACAACAAAGAAAGGGAAAAGTGTTAAGAAAGAAAGGATATAAATACATAAGGAGGTTGACTTTCCTAGGCAGGTTTTTTTGTTTTTTGTTTTTGCTTTACTTGTTTTTTCAAGAAAACTAATGTAGAAATACCAATAAAGTTTGAGATAGAAAGGGCCTTGTAGGAGAATGGCTACGTAAAATTAAATTGTAGTCAGTATGACTCTCAGCCAACAAACTTACATATGTAAATAATATTTTGGTAATCATAATATTGCAATCAACTTAGTTTGAATGCTGAGTTTTGTCATCCCAAAATTGGTTGAAAAACTCTTGCATTTATTAATTTATTCAATGAAGATTTATAAAACCCCTATTATATCCAAAGTTCTTTCTAGGCACTAGAAATATAACAGTAAATGAAATAAAATGCCTGTTTCCATGGAACTTGTGTTTTAGTGGGGGAGACAGGTAACAAATAAACAAACAAATCAAAATATAATGTCAAGTTGTGGTGATCCATACAGGAGGTAAGGTGAAGAGGGTTTCAGTTTAGCTCAGATAGTCAGGGCAGGTACTCCCGCTGGGTGACATTAGAGCAGAGACCTGAATGAAGGTACATCTGCCGGATACTTGGGGAGACAATTTCCAGGAAGAAGAAATGGAAACTACAAGGACCCAGAAAAGGACCCATACTTGGTAGGTTAGAGGAACAGCAAGGAGGACCATCAAGGCAACTGAAAGAGAATGAGCACACAGAAGGGCAGTAGGAAACGAAATCAGAGAGGTAATTGGGGCCACTTAATATAGAAGTATGGTGAGGGTTTGGGAATTAGTTTTAAGCAAGACAAGGCAAGAAATTGACAAGATCTTATTTTGTGTTTAAAGATCACAGTAGCTGTTCTATGGAAATGAGCTATTGAGAAAAGATGGGGGCAAACGTTTTGTTTTTACATTTGAGCCACTGCACACTGATGGGAACAACTTCATAGAGAGGAGGAAATGATAGGGAATGCTGCAGGGGAAGGGCAGGGGGAGAGGGAGCGAATTGTAAGGACAAAGTCCTTGAGTACAGGAGAGGGCCTAGGGACCTGTGCACGAGTGGAAGATGTAGCTTCTCCAACAGGAGCTTGTAGCCTTTGTTGTAACAGACTTATCTCAGACAGTCATCAGGCTAGCCCTGCTCCCTGATGCTATAGAGGGAAGACCTTAGGTTTAATGTAGTCAGTGCCAGTGTACTGTTTGGGGCATGAGACTCTTTAGAGACTGGAAAGCTGCAGATCTGGGATCTAGCCCTTTCCCAGTGTTCTACCTGACTTGTTTCCTCTGAGGAACTGCTACAGACTTGGGCTGCTGCCCTGGAGCACTTGAGGAATCAACAGACTTTTTCCCTCCTTCCAGCCCAGAGTTAAAGTCTAGCAGAAATTCTGGTTCTGAGTAAACTCAATGCACCGTGTAAAACATTCTTGCAGGTCATCCGTGATCTAGTACAAGAATCACTATTTTTCTGAATGTGTTGAAAGAAAATGCTCTGAAAACTAGAATGTCAACCTGCAAATGGGTTTGACGTACAGGACAGAAAGAGAGAAGAGAGAGAGAGAGAGAGAGACAGAGAGAGACAGACACAGAGAGAGAGAGAGACAGAGAGAGCGCAGCTGGGAGCAGGATAATTCGCCACATGTTATGGTATCAAGAAATAACAGGTAACCACTCTAACTAAGCTATGTTTCTTTTTAGTGACAGCACTGTGAGGAGTTACTGTCTTGATGTTCTGTAATGAAGAGACTTCCAGAACCTCCATTATTGTGTGCTTTCCCCTTATAACATGTTTCCTCATCTCTTCCTAAGCTAAAGTTATTTCTTTCTTCTAGGCAATTCTACTTATCTCTTCCTAAGGCTAAAGTTAATTCTTTCTTCTAGGCAATGCTACTTACCAGTCCCTGGAAGTGGTTTTCCCCACCCCCAAAATTGTCAGTAGTAGTGTCACTGGTGGACACAGGTAACCAGGTTCTTGGTGAGCGGGACAAAGAATTGAACAGAACACCCAAAGTTCATAGTAGAGAACATGGGAGCAGGCCAACTCCAAGCAGAGATTGACCTCATGGGCTGGAGGGACTTTATTCTTACAGGGCGGATCCTTGCTGGGTAGTTTTGGTGGGCTTTTACTGAGTATATACAAGTAATTGCATTACTTTAAAGCTACTGTGCATGTGGTTTCCCATGATCCTCCCCGATTGCCCACCAGGGAAGAGGGCCCCACAATGCTACCAAATTGACCCCCATTTCTCCTGGGGTCCCCCTGTAGTAGGTTCACCTTTCCCTAAGCCAGAGAATTATAGCTCTCCATGTTAGAGATTGGTGAAAAAGAAAAGAGTTATTTATTCAAGTTATACAGACTAAAAGTAATGACTTAATGTCTTTGTTAAAATCCCAAAGTCCCTTGAAACACCCACAAACACACACAGTCCTTCCTTCCCCCCTTTGCCCAGTCTGGGGTACCGTATCTCAGGAGAAGAAAT